AAACAGTCTTTCTCAACACTTAGTCAAAGAGTTTCCTATTCAAGTAAGAAAGTAAACGCATGTTCAAAAACATGTTTATTGGAGACGGAGTTGAGCATGATAAATACTCCACTGCTTATTTCTTTTCGTAGCGCGTGTTCGACTATTGAGAATCAAAACGATCTTGTGAATTCTGAAATGTAAAGAACAAAAAATGGTCACCACGATATCTGAATGCCATGCTTTTACTCATCTTGCTACTTGAAGCTTCACTTACGGTTATATTCGTTAACACTGAAGACTACACCTTTAGAACAGTAGAAAATAATTAACACTTTAAATTAGTACATAGATGTTCGTTTTTCCTTCGATTGCGCTTTTATGATTTTTCTCATGTGAAAATAACCTTGCGTCGCGATGTCAAAAAGTGTCGCGAGTTCTTTTTCGTTGACACTTGGTGCCAGGAACCGATTAGTTAATGCACCTGAAGTTTTAAAAAAACATTTACTACTTCGTATACAGCCTTAAAGCCTGCACTTCTGAAGTGCTGTTTTCGATGAAGTGCCAAGTAGCGTGAAATGACTGGCAACTTCAGGTGTCATGATATATAACAAAATATATCTCATTGATGTTTTAGGATTATCATCCATTAACCGCGTCAAACAAGCCCATCTGTAATAAAACCAAATGATCAAATTAATTTTTTTGACTTACAAATCTGTCCCTTAACTCTTCCTGCTGGAAACAAGCGTTCCTAGTTCATCTTCAGATGATAAAGGGAACTGTTGACTTGACAGTCTGCAATCGAATTTTCGCGGATGTTCACGGTCAACAGACTTCGACAGTAGCTGCTACATATTAGCACTCAAGTCAAAAATACCAGACTATATGTTCTGCAGTATAGTATACAGTCTATCAAATCTCAAAAACTTATCTCTATCGGACACATGACTTACTCGGCCGCAAACGCACTGCCTACATGCCTAGGCTCGAACGTTGATGGCGACGTATCCAATTGTGCCGAACTTGTTGATTAACATCTCAAAAGTAAACAAGCTTACTTAGTAATCGGCGAGATAACACTCGAACAACCGAAGTTTGGGATATCGGACGTGACTACTTACAGCCTGCATCTCTGTAACATCCATTTCAACGGAATTGCAAAGAAACCCTTCTTTACGTTCCAATGCACCTCTACAGAGTGTTAGTAAGATTATTGTACTGACTTTTTCGGCTTCTCAGTGTTTAGTGGCAAGGTGTCTTCGTCCATTGAACCGTTCATGCGACAAACATCTAATTTTTTGACGGAAACCAACTTGTCCTTTGAAGACTGGAGACTATCTATAGTAAATGATCGTTCCTATGATTGTGACTCACTTCACTCGTGAATGACGTTACACTTCAGGACTGACCAATTGTCACCTGGTTGGTCACTGTTTTGTAGGTGTATATCGACAAGCTTCGTTGGATAGAGGCAAAGTTCTTCACCAAAAATTCACTGTTTGGCCGTTATCATAAGCTGCTTTTCGCTTTGTGCGTCTACAATGACGTATTGTTTGTTAGCGGGCTAAATATTACATAAGAGGTAAGGAAATTGTTTACGGTCATATCTTCAGTACAAATGAAACAAAATACATTTACATAAATGTAACAATGGAACAGTAACTAAATAATGGACACAGTTAATGGCAATATATTTACAGTCAATATCCTTAACGGAAACCCATATGTGTTCATGACTAACTACTGAGCACTTAAATATTGCAGTATATAGTTCAATAAGCTTTTGATCTTTCAAGAGTTTAGTTCTTTGAAGCTAAAATCCAAGCTTTTCATTTGAACAAACCCAATATCCCTATTTTGGGGGAATTTTCGGGTTTCCCCCAAAGTCGTGAAAAGTTTGGGAGTTTTCCCTGAAGTTTTGATAAATATTGTAGTTTTTGTGCCATTTCCTCAAAGTTATCTATAGCAGTTTCCCTAAAAATAGAGATATCGGGTATTATTATAGCTTTCCAAGTCATCTAGATTTTCTAAACTTTTATGAGAGCGAAAATCGACGAAATTATGATCTATCCAAGCAAACCAAAAATAAAGGCAAGTATATGGGAAATAAGGGGTATTTCTCCTTAAGACAATAATGTGGAAATGGAAGACGCGTCAAAAAAATTCATTTTCGCTTGCCATTGGGAAATAGTGCGACATCCTCTTTTTTGTCAGCGTCAAGTAGCAATTTTTCCGAATTATTTGCTTCTCACCTAAATACACCGAGTTGTCTAGTAAATTTACGCTTTATTGCTTAAGTTTCACTTCTATTCGCGCACAATTATATGCTCATAGCTCAAACGTTTCCTATATTCGCCACAGCGAAGTTCCACTGTCATTGACGACGATTTGCCAAAAAGGTGTCAGCTAAAAGGTAATGCGTTATTTATCAGGAATATATCCTAATTGTCAACTCCATAGGCAACCAAACACGCTCTCAACATGTACCTAATATGTATATGTGTAGCACACGTGAGTGAGGAAGTAAATACATAAATAAAGAATGCTTATAGTTATCGTTAAAATAAAAAGGATTTTCAAAAAACTGGAACTTGAGTGTTACTGTCCCGAATCGAAATGGTCGTTTTGTGGACTCTGAAATAGAACAAATCTAGCATTTACAACAACGTTAAACTGCAAACGTTTTTTGGTCAACAACTGACAACATAAAGTAAGACTTACGGTAATGTTCATTAACACTGAACAGTGCAACTACAGAACAATAATAAGAGGTTATTACTTCAAACTTTTACTTATATGATGCTCTTCCAGTTTATTTCTCATGTGAAAATGACTTTGCTTTGCTGTTTCATACAATTTCGCAAGGCTTTTTTCTGTAACAGTTGACGATGAACAGTCTGATGTTATTGTACCCAATGGGTAAAAATAAAAAGGGTATGCTTCGTATACTGCCGTGAAACCTGTACTTATGAAATGCCAAGCAGTACAATGTGGCTGACCACTTCAGGTTTCATGACGTATGACAAGGTATAGCACACGGAGGTTGTTTGAATTATCGATTAGTCGCATCACTATGGCCATCTGAAATGTAAAATAATAACGCAATCACTTTAATAGACTTTCAACCGTGCCCCTTCATGTCTTCTTGCTGAGGACGTGCATCCAACGTTCGCAGTTGCTCTTCAGATGACAAAGAGAAATGAAAACTTGATCGTTTAATACCAAGTCAGTCAGTCAGCTGCAACGCAGGATGAGGCACATATATGTATCGGTCCAACGTGCCAATACTAAGTTTTCTCTAAACCAAAACGCGGTCTCAGACATTTAGGAGCTGGTCCACTAATTTTTCAGAGGAGCCTGACGCAATAGACCTTCAGGCTATCGACCGGTATCACTTTCAATACTCTAAAAAATTATGGAGTCTTTGATATATGATGGTCTATGAACTTATTTTTACCACAATAACATGGTTTCAGGAAAAGCCACTGATAACTCCGGTGTACAGGTGGACAACCATCCTTGATCTCAATGAGAAGGTAGATGTGACATACCTTGACTCTTCAAAAGTTTTTAATTAGGTCACTCAAACTTTTCTCATCAATAAGTTCAAAATATTAGGTATCAAGTCACCACCAATAGATGATTTAGTTTATATTTTGATAAATTTGACCTCTTCTCAGAATAGCGAATATCTTAGCGGGGTACCCTCAAGGTTCTGTACTAGGACCTCTTCTATTTTTAATTTATATAAATGACCCCCAGCAAATATCATCTGAGTTATTACTTTTCACTGACGATGTTAAGTTTGTAACCAGGATGATAAGCTGGCACTTCGGGAGGATCTTATTCAACCTTATAGTTGGGCAGATAACAGTGGACCTATGTTCGACACTTCTAAGTGTAAAGTAGTTCATCTGAAACGTTGCAGACTACACGTACAACTTAAACAACTTTGCTCTGGAAGTGTCCCAAGCTGATAAATATCTAGGATTTTTGGTGCTCTGTGATCGAGTCTTACGCTGTGACATAAATACCTTCGATCAAAGCTTGTACTGGTAAGACTGAAGCGCACTTTTGGTCAGATCAGCAGCAGAACTTCCCAATTAATGTTTAACAGTTCTATTCGACCCCATCCATTGTACGAAAATGTCTCCTCCTTCACTTTAGAAGTATGGAGATACACCGGAACGCATCTACAGACGAGCCACAAAATCAGTCTGAGGAATCTAAATTCAAACCTTAAGAGGTGTGTCTCAAATCACCGGTTCTGTACCTATTAAAGTGTAAGTATCTCAAAGGTGACCTTTTAATGAATTACAGAATCCTAAACACTCCTAACCTAAAATACTCACTGAAGCTCACTCTCAACACACACCTTAGGGGAATACACAGACATTCAAGACAACATAGAATGGAATGTATGTACTCGTTCTACTCTTTATGAGTTATCAAATACTAGAATTCGCTACCAGCTAAGATGGTCTATGCGACTTCCAAGGACTCCAAGAGAAAACTTTCCATATCATTGAGGACTTTGGACGATATTTCATTATAATTTACTAAAATTTTCCTTTTGCTCGTTGAGTTTATCTACGTCCTTACCTGAAGGCATTGGTTGTTTAAGCATGGAAACAGTCGTATAATGATTCATACTTACTCTTACAGTAAACTGCCAGTTAAGTCCATGTTTTGATGATTCTAAATTTTTTGACCTCGTAAAAAGGGGCTTATATTTGCTACAAGTTCAGAAGTTCTGAGGTGTCTTTCGGCTAGTGTTTTGTCAGTCTACATTCCATTAAAGTCTGATTTTTTTTCAGGTTCCTGGCATGTTCGGGACAAAACTCTGACCTCAATTTATGTAAAATTTACTCTTAGAGCTTCAGACATGGAACTGAGAAAATAATCTGCTTGAAAGTTTGGTCAAACGTTGAAGATCTAGTTTCTGCTCTCCACATTTTCAGAGTTTTTGGAACTGCGAGATATAAAGAACATAGTTGCATAATTACATTTCCTGCCTAATGTTGAGTAAAGGCTGTGCCATTAATATTTTATTCGCTATTCAAAAAAGTCATTTCATTCCTTTGAGACAATATGCTGATGGACAAATAACTTCATCTATGTATTGTAGACTTGTTAAAGAAGGAAAAATTAGGCATGACGATTTCCAATTTTCGGTTGTCAGACAACTTGATGAACTTTGTAAGGAGTTACACTCATACTATAACAGAAGTCGATTATTATCAGTAAGTTTATCTGCTACTATACTTAATATATGATAGGTGATTAGTAGTCAAAGTGCTCCTAGAGGTATTTATCTGTACGGTTCTGTGGGTTAGTTTAATATTAGAAAGGAGTAAACGTTTTAAAGGTTGTGGGAAGACTATGTTAATGGATTTGTTTTATGAGTGCTGTAGTCTCGATTACAAGTGGAGAACTCACTTCCACTCATTCATGTTTGAAGTACATGGAAGTAAGTTGTCATGTTGGTCAGTGTGTTAAAACTTGTGCATTGTTTCTTTGTTTATAATGCTGTTTTTATATCTTTGCAGGCAATAATCATTGGTGATATAAATACTAAGGAGCTAATTTTTTATCTAAAGACAAAAGCCTTTCAAAGGCCTAAAGTACATCATTTCTGTCAGATTTTTTGTGTTTACTTATTCTTTTGAAAGAACATGAACTAACAGTGACACCGCTTACAGTACTAGTCTTCAAGAGTTCATTATTCAGCAAGGAAACTGATGAATCCTTATCATACATCGTTCTTAACTTTGACCTATCCTGCTGTCTCTTATGAGTTGTGCTGAACCACTCGTTAGAAAAAATAACATAGACCCAAAGTTGATTTTTAAAATACTAAACACTATGAAATGTTCATTATCTATGATTTAATAAATTAGAGAAATTTAACTTTCAGTGGTGCTTTCTGTGTCTTAAACCGATGTTTTCAAAGATATCAGATGTGTGACATTTTCCTAATTTCGTTCCTCATCGTTTTAATCCCTTTGTAAACGTTGGAGTTGAGCCTGTTCACTGTTTTTCAGTTTAGGTTGTACTAAGATCATGCGTAAAGTAGTGAATATATATCTGTTATCCCCGTAAATATTCAACGTAAAGCGATTGCTGTGTTTTAGAGTTCAATCAACTTGTGTAGAAAATTGTATCCGTTAAAAAGATTAATCGTTTTCATCGTCGACTGTTATTCAGGAATTTCCAGTAATCATTGTCGTTTGTGAAAATAGAAGTAGTCGAAAAGTTCGTGTATTTGAGTAGCTGCATAAGTGCTGCTGGCAGCGTGAGTGATGAGATCAATTCACGTATGGTGAAAGCCAGAACGACTTATGCCAATCTGGGCCATCTTTGGTACCTTTGTGATGTTAGTCTGGTCGTAAAAGGTCGGATTTACAACGCGTCGATGAGAGCAGTTCTGCTCTATGCTTGTGGAATCTGGTCTCTCCGAGTTGAGGATGTCAGACGACTCTCTGTGTTTGATCATCGTTGTCTCCGAAGGATTGCTGACATACAGTGTCAACACCATGTTAGTAATTCAGAGGTTCGGTATTATGTGTTCGGGCACAGCAACGATAATTCAATTGGTATCACTATCATGAAACATCGACTTCAGTGGCTTGGTCATGTTCTACGAATGTCGTCCCAGAGAATTCCACGTCGAGCATTTTTTGGCGACGCTGGGATTGGTTGGAAAAGGAGGATAGGTGGTCAGTGTATGACATGGTATCGTGGTATGAAAGAAAGTTGTGCAGGACTGGCTTATGTTGATCCTTCACGACTCCCTGGTTGGGGTCCTAGAGATGGTGCGACACAGTGGTGATCTAGCTTAAATCGACTCATGTATTAAGTTATTAGAAGTTTATTCGGTTAGACTATAATTTATGGACGACATTTGAGCGACTCTAGAGTGACATTGAGAGTGTCGACCTAATAACTAGGACCAAATGAGGGTTATAAGCCAGTAAGAGGAATTGGCATTATGATTTACAGTTGATGATTAAGGTTAGTTAGGGATTAGATTTAGGGTTTCCATCATGAACTGACATCAGCTATGATTCCAAAACTAACCAAATAGATGAATTTGTTTTGTGCCATAAATCCAGACCTGTCATCTTTCCTGATTCGTTTGTCCATAGAATATAGTCTCGCCCAGTTTTTTTGTCTTCGTGTTTATCAAACTAAATGTTCTCGTATACACACCTCAGGTCCCATTAATGTATGGGGATGATAATTTTACAGTATACTGTGAAATAGCTTTAACAATAGGTAAGGTTTGTTGAAACTAGTCTAACTTAGACCACTTATTACTTGTTCAAAAGTAGTTTATTATTATACATTCTACTTTGGTAACTTAGATTTAGTGGCAAAAATTGTTAAAATAATGTGATCTCTTCTAAGCTAATCATATAAGAATTGATGGCTCAATGATCAGAGCACTTGACCTTCAATTATTGTCACATATCAAAACATTGCTCCATTCCCGTTTATTTTTATGCTTTGGTAACTCCTACAAATCTTGGAGAATACTTATTTGGTCTGATAACATAAGTCAGCTGGGAACTACCGACTGTAAATAAATAAGATACCTATGTCTCGGCTAGGTCCTTCATTTTCTGAGTTATTCGCAAATTAAATTAAATTTTCTTCTGAACCTCGTTGCGTTTTACCTCCTATCTTCCATAAACACCGTCACCATACAAAATTAAATATATCCTTTTATTTAAACATCGAGTTCTGTATTGTAGTCTCAAACTACTATTTTTTTGTCTCTTCACTCACTAACGTACATTGCACATTTATTTTTCTAAAGCTAACAATATCACCTAGCTATCTGAACTAGACTAGAATCTACAGCTTATTGTTAGCAAATTAGATGTTTATAATTATGAAGTCTCCAGATATTCCGTACTATGTAACACTGAATTAATCGTCTGTGAAGTAAGTTTACTTTTGATGGAACTCTGTCAGTCATTAATTGCTAAGTAGTATAACATATCTATATATCTGTGAGCTATTTTCAATATAGAGGTTCGTAAAACTGAAACAAAGAGGTAGCTTAGGGCAGCTAAAATGCTTATCTTTCAGTCATTAGGTCACAAACTTGAACTTCACTTCATCTATTTTGTATTGAGCAACCATATACAATCGCTAGCCTACACACAGCATAAGTACAGCTTAAAGCTGAGTACATAAGTCTGTAATTAGTATATAAGTAAACCAAACAAGTATTTAAATAAATCTGAAACATACTAATTCATTACGGTGTATTTATCATTCAAAAAGTTCTTTTTACACTAAGTACAAAACATATCACAAGTAAATGTTATAATCTACCATATTTTCCCTTTTGTTTAACATATATCTTTCTTTAAGGGCTACATGCTGTTCGTTCATCTGCTCCAAGAAACAAAAAATCATTTGATCCTATTCCTCCAGTAGCAAAAAGTATCATTGATCAATACAAATTGTTATGCTTCGATGAATTTCAGGTTTGCTTTTTCAATAATAAATTATTATTCATTCTATTTTCATCGAAATATGAAGTTAAATTGTCATACATATCGTCTCATCTATCGATGTGATTCGTTCCTCTTGAACTGTACTTTACATGCTTAGATTTACGATTGTGGTATAAAAAAATAGAGAAAGGTTTTTATCATATATCGCTCTCAATTACATTTAGTCAAGTCAAAAACTTAATGTCACGAATAGAAGTTATTAACAAGTGCCCTCGTACGGCTGAGAGTGGGGGGAGTCCGCTCTCCCTCTCGAAATGCTCTCACATGGCCACGCGTATATAGCCTCTGCCAGGGAAGTCCTACTCACTGCCTTCTCTCACCAGGGGTGTTGTTTACGAAGTTGAGAGGACGAAAAGCGAATGTCCGGTGCTTTAACCGTGTTGGTGGACATGGAGAGTTCACTTAGGGGAGTTGGAAAACTCCGATTCCAAACCACTGGTGCACATGGGCTCCAGTACCCTGAGGGAACAAACGGCGTATGAACCAATTATTGGTCACCGCCTACTGTGGGGTTGCATCTCCTTACGATGCTTCACAGCCACGTGGATCAAACCTTCATGTCTAAGTCTCCGGGTGTGGTCCCCTAAGAAGACCACCTGCTTCGGTTTGGGCACCCGGACAGTATCACAGCCCTCACAAATATCAGATGAGATCTGTGTGGCACATATTTATTTGGTGCCCCCTCGTACTAATATCTATGTATTAAAATAAAATAAAATAACAAAAAGCTTCGATTGATCTTCCCGACTATGTCATAAAATTATTCACAAAAAAACAGTCGAAAGATGCATCATTCCAGTCAAAAACCATAGCTAACATATTGATATGAGGCGTTGGAAGCTCTCGTAGTGACGAAATTGATTCGCATAAACCCTAATAGGGTTGTTGTAGCAATCGAAAATTCAGTGTTATTCGGTTTTTTTTTGTAAGTTGAGAAAATTATTGAATCAAAGTTTTCTATTTTCTTGTTTTCAATGTAAATTAGGTTACAGATATTGCAGATGCAATGATATTAAAACGATTATTTGAGAATTTATTTAATCTTGGCGCTGTTGTTGTTGCCACATCAAATCGTTGTCCGGACGGTTAGTTGATGATGACTTTTATTATTGTTTGTTGTTCTCATTAGATCATCATAAACAAAACAAAAAAAAGACATTTTATTCAATCAATTCACGATAATCTGTTGTTATGACTTAAAATCCTGTTATGTATATCTCATTACGAACGTTTGAATGATTATTCTAATACAGGATAGGATCTATGCTCACTGGATAAACTGAACAGCTAATACATACCACTTCAATTATAACCTCCTGGACAATAGATAAGAGAAACGTTTTCTGATGAAAATGTATTGCTGAACACTCCGAAAAAACTCTATGTAATCATATTTTTTTCTGCCTTATGTCTTTCTGCCAACTAATTCTTTCTTCCTGTACTAAATCGTTATATACAATCATTCTTTCATATATTACCACCATTGAATTAACTATTTCTATGAATTCGGTGTTCATCTTGTTGTGCTAATGAGGTATAGCAATTTGAACCGATGCATATATGTGCCTGTTCCTACGTTTTAGCTGACTGATTGATATTCTTTTTAATCAGTCATATGTCGGTTTGGGCATCCAGACAGTCTTACAACCCTCACATATATCGAATGATCTATGTGGTGCATATGTATTTAGTGCCTTATTGTATCAATGTTTATGTGTTTAAATAAATAAATATATGAGTCAACTAAAGCTAGACCACCATGGAAAACCTGAAAGCACTAGATGACCGATTCGTCGTGGATGCATATTTCTCATGAGTCCCGTACTAAGACGAAACGGCAGTACAGTGTTTTTAGGTTTTCCATGGTGGTCTAACTTTAATTGACTCATGCATTCAACTGTAAGGTTACTGAAATCTCCGCAAAACTTCCCTTCTGAAAATAAATATATGTTAATTATAATTTATAAACTGAGTAATTTTTTACTGAATATAAATCATAGTAGACTAATTAATGTCATGATGATACATTGAAAGTAAAATAGACGAACTTCATACTGAATAAATCGATCCATATGAAGATGAAAACATCCAAAGTCAATGAATAAAGTTCACTTTATATTAATATTTTTAATCCTAAAATTTATTTTTTCATTGTAGTATCTGGGGTATTCACATATCCAACACCTATACATATTAAATAAAACTAAGTCTACGATATTCAGTAAATATTTACCTAAAGGGTATAATTCACTTTAAAAGCTGATTTATACATATCATATAATTCTGTGAGGACAGTTCATGAGTGAACTCAAGGAAGGGCTAAGATGCTCAGAAAGAGCCGAAGATATTCCATCTAATCATCCTTTGAAAGAATATCCCAGAATCCCTACGTCTAGCTCTCTTATTGAAGGAATGCTAATAACCCCTTGTGTGCGAATTAGATAACTATATGGTGATTTCTTTTTTACCAAAACCTATAAATACCTGACAGTTCTGTACCGTACTTGACACTGTTTGGAATAACATTCCTTTCATCTGTCTTCTGTGTTCTCATTTGCGACTTGGGAGTGTTCTATTATTTATTATTATTTATTTATTTATTTGAACACATAAATATTGATACAAGAGTGCACCAAATATATATGCGCCACACAAAACAATGAGAATTTAAACAGAAGGACGAAGAAAAAAGGTAAGGAGCGTAGGAAAAAAGAGAACAATAACGAAGAGATTGGTGTAAGGTAGTGTAATAATAATAATGGTAAAAATGGGGGAACGGAAAGGTACAATCAGAAGAAATCTTTCAGTTAAGGAAGATACAATCACTTTTTACGAAGAAAGTAAAAGAAGGTTACAGCCACCGAAGTCGATGTTTCAAGATAGTGATACCAATTGAATTATCGTTGCTGTGCCCGAACACATAATACCGAACCTCTGAATTACTAACATGGTGTTGACACTGTATGTCAGCAATCCTTCGGAGACAACGATGATCAAACACAGAGAGTCGTCTGACATCCTCAACTCGAAAAAGCCAGATTCCACAAGCATAGAGCAGAACTGCTCTCATCGACGCGTTGTAAATCCGACCTTTTACGACCAGACTAACATCACAAAGGTACCAAAGATGGCCCAGATTGGCATAAGTCGTTCTGGCTTTCACCATACGTGAATTGATCTCATCACTCACGCTACCAGCAGCACTTATGCAGCTACTCAAATACACGAATTTCTCGACTACTTCTATCTGCTCATCATCCAGGGTGAATAGAGGATTAGGATCCTGCCAGTCTTGTAGAAGTACTTTGCACTTCGAAGGTGTGTTCTAGCGTCCGAGTGCTCAAGTTATACATGGTATATTAAGAATCTAAGCTCTATATATAACAAATTCTAAATAAGTTTCCTTGATGAAAATATTGGCATTTGACTATGTCAATAGATGAACGTTCTGGTAGAATATCCAGTGGTTGAAAAGATTATAATATCTAGAAGAACATCTATGATGAATATCATCGAAAGTTGACAATTCTAATCTACTCAATTATAATTTATAGTCTCTTTTTTTCTTTTACAATGTTTATAAATAAACAAAAGGACATTTTTCTAAATTCTTACTTACATATTGAATACTTTTGTTTGTTCTAGATCTATATAAGAATGGGTTACAACGTGTAAACTTTGTACCTTTCATAGGTCTTCTTAAAGTAAGTTGTTATATATACATATATGTAAACTAAAAAACCATAGATCGATATATATAAGAGTAGTGTGTACTTAGCCCCCAAATGCCCTGGTACGTTCGAGAGTGGGGAGAGTCCGCTCTTGAAATCCTCTCACATGGCCACGCGTATATAGCCTCTACCAGGGAAGTCCTACTCATTGCCTTCTCTCACCAGGGGTGTTGTTTAGGAAATTGAGAGGACAAAAAGCGAATGTCCGGTGCTTTAACCGGGTTGGTGGACATGGAGAGTTCACCTAGGGGGAGTTGGAAATCCCTGATTCCAAACCATTGATGCAGATTTGCTTCAGTACCTTGAAGGAACAAATGACATATGAACCAATCGTTGGTCACCGGCTTCCATGGGACTACATGTTCTTACGATACTCCACTGCCATGTGGATCAGACCTTCAGGTCGAAGGCTCGGAGTGTGGCTCCCTAAGAAGACCACCTGCTTCGGTTTGGGCACTCGGGCAGTATCACAGCCCTCACACATATCGAATCAGATTTGTGTGGCACATATGTATTTGTTGCCTCCTTTTACCAATATCTATGTGTTAAAATAATAAAATAAATAAAGTGTGTACTTATGTCCGCGTAATCAATCACCTGAATTAATATAGCTAAGTTACTATTGTTCGCGAATATTCAATTATTGACGGTTAAGCTTATCTTAAAGTGAACTAATATTAAAAGACAGTATGACATAACTAAGTTCAGTAAACAAGGTCCCTGTTACACAGTGAAATTATACAATTATGTATAAAATTTTAAAAAAATGATATCGGATAATTGAATATTCACTGAATTTATTAGTTGTTGGCGCTGATTGGATTTATTTTACATCTTTCAAGTTATAAGTGACTAAGCTCAATGGCTTGGTGACCCTTTGCAATTTATTGAAAAAAATTCTTAGTTAGTATCACTCGGAAATAACCTTTGAATCTATACCTTCTCGTTTATGAGCACGTGGAATCTATCATTCCTTACGAAACGCTTAACTTTTTTTATGTTAGTTGGTTGGAGAGGTAGTCAAATGAAAATCGTGGACTTATTTTTTCATACTAGTTGGTAATCCTCAGAGTGGCTTACCTACAGTCTTCAGGAAACTGATGCATCCTTTGGAATCCAAACCTCCATTTTCCAAAATTCTTAATCTGAAATATCATTACTGAACTATTTGGGTCACGATTAAGCTTTTGTAGAACTGAGATATTTACAATGATTGATCATTTAGACTAATGGAAACACTGCAACTTCATCAATAGGGTTAAATTATCATTTAAGGACTAAACAAGCATGACACTGATCATTATTAATTGATCTTAATATCTAACTTCAACCAATCCACGATGTTGCCCAGCTGTTTTCTAACATTGATCGGTTCATGATTTTGATGCAAATCTGTTTGTTAATACTGCATATAGTGACGTTATCATTAGACTGTTTGGGTTACAATTAATCGTATTTACGAAAAAAATCAAGTGTTTTTCGGCTACAAAATTTAGTTTATACTATTTTTCTGTATCTACATCTTACCAACTTTGTTCTATGGTAATGCTCGGGAATTCGATTGATTTCAATGGTCTTTTATGCTCTTTGTTGTTCCTCTGACATGTCTCTTAAGAAAATGAAATGGCTTATGTTTTGTGGTTATACCATGACTTTTAGCCAATATATCATAGGTTCGAACCTCACCTCATCTATTTCCATTACCGCATCTGGCTAGGGTCATTCAGTAATCCCCACAAAAAATACAATGTGGCTCAATACCAAGTATATAGATCTTTACTTGCTAAATGAATTACATCGTGTAGTCGATAAATCATAGTAGTTGTATTCAAAATAATAAAGACAGCTTTCAATTGAGGTCTTGCAACTAATATGCACTTTATTCCTTCTATATGTACTTTGGATATTGTTTTATGTATCGAATTTCATCTCATTATTTACCGAAACGGCATCGTTCCATCTATTACTACATAGTCAAATGATCAGGTTAATTGGTTGATCTATATCATCATTCCAATTGTATGCCGTTTTTGATTAATGTATTCTAGTTTTCCTGGTTTTCAGACAATGTCATAAAAGTTTTGTTTTAATCATCTTTGCTAACTGAGGAGGAGGAATTCATGCAATTAGTTTACCACTCTGATTGCAGTGTACACATAAAGCTTATTATTTTAAATATTCAACCTTCTTTTTCACAGTTTTTCAAAAATTTGGAAACAAGCTAACTACTGAATTCCTAACCATCTGTTTAGTATAACAATACAAAATTGATTTCAAGTCAATTACACAAACTTGCCCTGGTTTATTCTTCCGTTCTAGGAAAAGTGTCATATAGTCAATTTGGATTCTGGTGTGGATTACCGTACAAAAATAAGTGAAACATTATTCAAAGAATCAGATCTTCCCCTGTATCTAGAGTAAGTCCACTGAAAATAAAAATAAATTAATAATATGTAATAACATTTGTATTTATAATTAGTTAGACGTAGGTAACACAGAATTAAGTTACCATGCTTTATATTAGTACAGTGTGAAAGAAAAATAACAGAATGAAAAGGAGAGAAAAGGGATATAATATTCATTATTGTAGAATGTTAAGTATCATGGTTGAAAAACGCATTTGTTATTTCTGCCATGAAATTTCTACTCACTTCTTTCACGTAGAGAGGTATTCTTTTCAATACGAATGTGAGAGGACGTAAAGCGAACGTCAGGCTCTTAAATAGGTTTCGGTGGATGCGGTGGGTCTATTTAGAAAAGTGAGGAGATGTTGATTCCAAATCAACGGCGTACATGGGCTCCACGATCATCAGGAGGTGAATAGTGTATAAACCTACTTCAGTCACCTGTTACTTTGGGACTTCACCTCCTGAAGTTGATCCATTACTTCACGGATTAAACTTTCTTTTCTAAGGCCCAAGAACTGACCTCCTAATTAAACCATCTACTTCAGTCTGGGCATCCGGGTTCACTCATTAGTGTGATAATTATAAAGAAAATGCTTTGTTCACTTATTACATACAGTTCAAAAGGAACAAGTATTGAATGCCGTTAAGTCCAATATTTAGGGAAAATTAGAGTGAATACAACATTTCCATTTCAACTTATTTAAAGTTTGTTCATCCAACGTTTCCAATCATTGGTTACGAATATCATACGGGTCCTAACTAGGAAACTTACACCTTCCTAACCCAGTTCAAACTTGAAGTTAATAATGTCGTTGATTGATCCCATATATATTACTCTGAGTACCCTAGTTTGACTCCAACCTACTTCTCTATTGGTCAGCATTCTACAAATTAGTATGTGGTTGCTAGGCCGATGTCAAATATATTCTGATCACCTAATTCGATGAAGGCATATAACTTCATCTATACGGTGTTTGGTGGAGTTTTGTTCTCTGAGCTGGATAGTTTGTTCGTGGAGCTTTCATCGTTATTGTGAATGATATCATTAGCACAGACTTCAGGTAAAAGTGAAGTGTTCGGATTTCTCCACATATGATTCACAGCTTGTCCTGTAAACTTCGATCTTGATTGGTTAAAGGTCAACATGAATTTTTTGCTGATGATGTCATTCAGAATAACGATGAAAGCTCCACGACTAAGCCATTCAGCTCAGAGAACAAAACTCCACCAAAATCATCTACCTGAACTACAAATTTCCTCTCCCATCTCAATACAATGATTAAAATTGAAAACAGATTTGTGATTATTTCATCATGTTATTAATCTTAATTACTTTAAGTCTATCTATTCTATTTATTCGTTCAACAACAATAACAACAAAAAGTTATTCTACTGGAAATGACGATATACATAATCAACTTGAAAAATGGTTTACAAAATTAACAACTGAAGATGGACATGGTAAGTATATTAATCCATTAAACGAATACAGAAAAGCAATTTACTTATGAGTTACAATAAAATAATTCCATTCAATAAATATCGTCAATAAGAAGTGTTAATTATGAAAAGGGCAATTTTTTTCTAATGTAACGATTGATTTTATTTACTTGATTAAGATTAATGTTAGGCCACCATTAAAAACTTGGGAGCATTGAACGGCTGTTTCGTCCTATTGTGGGACTCCTGAGCAGTGTGCATCCACAGTCCCGCTTGCGGGATTCAAACCCAAGGCCTTTAGTCTCGCGCACGAACACTTAACTTTTAGACTACTGAGTCGGCATCCAACGGTGTTCATGTCTAACCTCAACCAATCCGTTTAGATTTTTCAATATATTTTAAACAGTTTATTAATCGTAATAGATCGTATTCAATATTATAAGTTTAGTATAATATTTAGGATTTTCAGCATAAATTATGTATTATTCGATGTAAGTAGTTTTGTAGTGGACGAGGACACCAATGGGAACATTCGAACGTGTTTTAACACAAAATTACAGAAAGTCTTAGTAAAATCTGAGAATCATGCAGTGAATAATTCATTTGCAAAATGTCAATCAATTGTCTCTTCGTTTCCAAACCAATCATTGTTTGTTCTTGTTTTCTTTTCTTCGATTTTCTTAACCTTCTGCCTCTTGGTATTTCAATTTCGATTGATGATATGTACTACTTCTATTTATCAACATCAGTAGCACATATCACATTTTCAGTATTGATCTGTTTTCATAATTCTCTACAAAATCAGACAGGAAAAAAGAGACTATACAATATTGTTAAGATCATAAAAATTATTAAGCCTTACATTATCCTTGATTTTATTATCATTATTATTAATAGCTTTATTTAAGATTATGTTTTTGGTACAATATAGAATTCGCAGCAAAAAGTATCTCAACAAGTTTCTGTTTCTTATTTCTTGATCGATCCTGACGATAACAATTGAGTGATTGACAGTTAGATATTGGCATTTCAGGAGTGGACATCTGAATAATGTTCATTCTTTTCGTTGCACATTGCCAGCAACCACACTGTCTCTGATTCGGCTTTTTTGTAACTTGTACGGCGAAATGTCGTAAACTTTTCATAAACACACTTGAATAGGTTGTTGCGGTTAATAGACATCAGGATGTGTTAAAACAAACAAAAACCAGGTAATTAGATAACAGGAACAGGTTATTATTATTATTCGATGGTCCCAACCTATACGCACAACATTTTCAAGATACCTATGGTAAAATACTAATAATCTACATATGTTCTGTTTTCTTAAAATTCAGTTTTTACGTGTGTAAAGTAAAACAGAGCAAATCGTTATATGTTATATTCGTTTGTCAGTTGATAGAAAAAAACATATCACTTATCACAGATAATGATTCAAACATCCTAGTATTTCACAGATTGAAATCATGAGTCAATTGAAGCTAGACCACCATGAACAACCTGAAAGCACTGGATGGCCGTTTTGTCCTACTGTGGGACTCCTCAGCACTGCACATCCACGATCCCGCCTCGTGAGATTCAAACCCAGGACCTATCAGTCTCGCGCCAGGCGCTTAACTAACTAGACCACTGGGCCGGCCGGCATCCAATGATGTTAATGTCTAACTTCAACCAATCCACGAATTTGCTCCACCTTACACCATTGTCTTCAGTGAGTTCCTGTCTCACAACAGACCTGGTTTACCTCGACTGGTAACGGCTTCTCACTAAAACTCCAGGAGTGTCTCTTGAAGTCAGTCACTAGTGAGCAGGTGATTATTATTATCAGAATGGGTTTTGTGGAGATTTTTAGAAATTTCAATAGTTGAAATCATGAGTCAATTGAAGCTAGACCACCATTGGATGCCGGCTCAGTGCTCTAGTTGGTTAAGCGCCTGGCGCGAGACTGATAGGTCCAGGGTTCGAATCTCGTGGGGTGCGGGATCGTGGTTGCGCACTGCTGAGGAGTCCCACAGTAGGACGAAACGGCCATCCAGTGCTTCCAGGTTTTCCATGGTGGTCTAGCTTAAATTGACTCATGATTTCAATCTTTGAAGTTCCTAAAATCTCCACAAATTCTTTCTGATAATTCTAGTATTTATTCATTAAGCTATTCAGTCAAAGAGATTAAGTTTACCCAACAATGTATGAATATCAAATGACTCAGTTGGTCCAGTAGGTTAAGCGTCCGCGCTCGAGACTGAAGGCCTTGGGTTCGAATCCCGCGGGCGGGATCGTGGAAGCGCACGGAAAAGACGGCCGTCCAGTGATTCCAGGTCTCCAGTGGTGGTTTTACATCAATCGGTTCATGATCTCAATCGAAAGCTTAATAATCTCCACAACCCCTATACTGTCAAAAAGATCAAGTTTGACCAACAGTGTATGAATATCAAATGTTTATAAAGATAATTGTTTGAAATTTTTATATAATTTGTAGAATTTTTAAAAAGCATTGACTATTTGTGAATTTGATTCTGTACTGAATTTTGAATGTTTATTGTTAAAGAAATTTATTTATTTTATTTAAACACATAAACATTGGTATAGATATGGGTCACATAAATCATTCGATTGATGGTCTTTTTAGGGGGGCCAAACCCGGAGCCTTCGACCTAAAGGTCTGACCCACAAGGCAGCGGAGCAACGTCAAGAGATACAGTCTCATGGTAGTCGGTGACCAACAATAGGTTCGTACGCCATTCATTACTTCAGGATCCTGGAACCCATGTTTAAAATTGGTTTGGAACGACGGTTTTCCAACCCCCCCCCTTTAGGTGGACTCTTCATGTCCACCAACCCAGTTTAAGCTTTTCTTCCTCTCAATTTCGTAAACAACACTAATGCCACGAGAAGGTAGTGAGTAAGACTTCCCTGACAGTGGTTGTATGCACGTGGTTATGTGAGAGCATCGAGAGGGAGAGCTGACTCTCTCTACTTTCGTCCATACCAGGGCATTTCGGGTCTTAACCTAACATGGAACTAATTGCATATTTACTAATTCTTTAATCTTTGACTAAAACTATATTGAAATCAAAAGTACCTTTAGTTAATTTTATAATATTATTCTTTTTTGTTTCTATTTTGAACAATTTTTTTTCTTTTAAATAGTTGGACCACCAGTAGTTGGAACAATTTCAACATATGGGCGTGTAGTTACCTTTAAACAAACTGGTGGAAATATTTTAAAATGTACATTTGATGAGTTGTGCAATGTGGTAAGGTGATGAGAATTTTTTTCTTCCCATATGTTAAAAGTGATATTGTTTTATTTCATCAAATAAGGAAATCGTCCATTAGACTAGAATCGATTTTTAAAAAATATGTTCGCTAGCTTGGGAAATCATTTAAGATTTTGGTGGAGTTTTGTTCTCTGAGCACGACCAAACCATCCAGCTCAGAGAACAAAACTCCACCAAAATCATCCACCTGAGCTACAAATCTTCTCCACCATCTCAAAATCATTTAAGATCTTTTTCTTTGAAATAGTACACAAAAAAACTTGTTTATTCAATTCAATCACTTGATATAGATCAGTGTACTTGGTTTCGATTTACACACTATATGTGATATCATACCGAATGTAGTTGCAGAAAGGTTCAGACATGCGACTAAATAATTGAACGTTGGACGTAATATCTCGTAAGCCACAGGAACTTCCTGTCCTGTATACCCTAATTTTATTTTCCTACTGCTTTGTAATATGTAGACGAGTTACTTAATTCATTTAGTCTCAAATCACACTTGGAAGCGAATAGAATATATTTCGAAGATCCTAATAACAAAAAATAATCTAGCAAAAAATATTAGCGCACAGCTAAAATATACAAAGAAGTATACCAACGATAAGATGGCTTGTAAGTAATATTTAGCTGGACGTGATGTCGAAATTGTCACAGTCTTCAGACAGAGAGAAGAGTTTCAGTTCGCTAAAAGCACGGCGTAGACAGAAGACTTGGAAGGTGGAAGCGAAGGTTGTTTGGGTTGCAGAACGCACTACAAAATTCAATTACATGATGAAAGTCTATATATTCATATCATATAAACATCTTGCAACATCGCATAATCAATAAAAAGGACTAACAAAATATTCTGATGAAAGCTCGGTTGACATTAAGTGCCCGGCAACTATGATTCACTACCACCCATTCTAAAAAAACGGTAGGGTGTGAATAAAAAATTCAGGTATCGTTGATTGGTGTACTCGTTTTAGAAGTGTGTACTGAAGTGAAAATGAACAAACATTTTGTCACCTTTAATAATGTTGTAATTGATCGTAAACTGTTCATCTTTGTAATCTAATTAGTTGAAATCGAAATAGCATCAAGTGCTTTGATTGGATGTCATAATTTGCATTTTTACATTTGAAATGATAATGAATAATTCTTTTTGTGTAATGTTAGTCTTGAAAGAAGTTTAGACATTTTAAGAAAAAAACACCAACTGAAATGCACGATCGTGTAATCCTACTGTTAGTGAATGTGTATTGGGATAAATTTTCCCTTTCCGATCAAGTAATTTAATGTCAACCTTCAATTGAAGTCGTTAGTTATCTTGCCACGAATACTTGTATGTATCACATTAAAAGAAAGTTTTGGGAAAAAGGAACTTGATAAGTCTTGTCGATTGAATGCTATATTCGTTTCCTAAACTATTCTGGTAACCCGCAAGCTAGAACTACACAGCGACCTAAACACCAGGGAGAAGACGCAAAGTATGAGAGAAATACTTTACTCCAAGGTTCGTTCTTGTACAGAAAAACATGGGTATTTATAGATGTTAACGTTTGTTAAATCAACATCATATTTCGGCCAATCCGTTAGCGACATATTATGCTACCGACCAATAGTAGCACGCCACGTTGGAATTCTAGAATGCTCCATCGTGCTGTGATCTCAGCACCGGTGTTTTTCGATTACGCTGATACATCTTCAAAATTCGATGACTCGTCTCCACAAAGTTGGTATTATTTAGTTCAAGCAGCGTTGATGATGGTCGAAAAGCAGTAGACCACTTGTGTTTTTTCGGTAGTAGGTGGTCTCTCACATATCTGGCAAACGTTCCGTCGGAATTTTCGATTAACGATAGTACATTGTTAAAACTACAAAATAATGTTATGCACCTTTTGATTTACCTTTCAACCGTTCGAGTGAACATCAGGCGAAAAAATAGTTGTATAATTTCTGATCGCACCCTCTACATTTACGGTTAATGGGTTAATGTTAATGAATGATACACTTACCCTCTTTATCACATTGCGAACAAGGTGTACACGACACAAAATATGGTGGGCATTTGGATAGACCTGCGTGATGGCAGCAGCTATTGCAGGTGAATAATCGGTCACAATGCCTACCACCTGTCGACTGTTGGTAGACCGTTGGAAAAACAAGAGGAATCGAGAAATCATGGTCGACGTTTCACGACTTAAAAATGCAATGCAAACTGGTATTGCCTTAAAATTCATATCAACGGCTACGACCTGATATAAATAGACGTTCTCGTCATTCGTCTTGTACGTCCCGTCAAAACCAATAACATCAAAGAAACGACCTTTCAAATTCATTTGCTCAGCAGTCGTGAAGAAAAAATACGATGGACAGTTATTGTTATGACCTTGAAGTTGAGGGTTCAAAACTTTTCCCCACCCCGTCGCCAATTGTTATGACCTTGGATGTCTGACTTTTCGATCACGCGATTTATCTACCAATCCGAATACGACTTATACGAATCTTCACACTAGGCCAACCAATGACGTTCAACCGGTGTGGGCAGTTTAGCGTCCTTATTGGTCCTATGTCCTACGAGCCCTTCCACTTGAGTCCAGAACACAATACCAGCTTCGAATCAGAGCAGATCAGACCAGATCGTTTATTTCAAACATACTCAGTTTATATATCAACCAGACAGACCGCAACGTACCATAAAATAGGAAATAATATTTGTACACAAATAAGCCCAAAAAGTGGCTGTGAATGAGGGAGGCAGTAGTTAATAAACTGAACATAACTTAAGAACCGTAAATCGTACAATAATAAATTATAGGTCAAAATAAAGCTTATAATAAGAGGGATATAAATATACATAACGTAATTGTTGAATAGTTATACAATAAGAATATTTATAGAATATTAGTCCATGAATAGTCCTCGGAAGTTACCTGTAATTTAATCTTCACCGGATATAACAGTTATCATCGTTTAATTCGTATTCGCAAAGCCCACCCAAGGATGTTATGTGAGCTTGTAATTTTCCGTAATCACCTATGGTGTACATTATAAATTGGTGGTTTGCTTACCAGGAAGGTTCGCGTGTGAGAACACTTTGTACCGCATATTACAGACATTTTGATCAGTCAGACGTTTCCCATAAGATTGGTAAGCAAAATTCTTTATGTGGAATGCAGCGGTCTCACAGTTTCAAACTCCGCATCCGTTAACCTGCGCACCAATGAATTACCTTGGTACCTCAGGGAATTGCACTCGTGATTGTGATGCACATTCCCACGTACAACAGTCCAGTAGCCGTCTACAATCTTACATAACATGAAGGCCGGACATTGGGTGTTCATGGAAGCCCTTCGTGAGAAAAATTATAATAACATTAACCAAATCACCTCCTCCGTCTAATCCGCTGTGAAGAACCGCTAGATCTTATACGCCCATTTCTCCAACACACAAATTTATTATACGAATTTTGATCTCTGCCAATATGCGAATCTCTCACTACATAATGACTGTAAGTCGATCTATCAAAATTTGTGATACCGGTCTTTAACGCTTCAACCGATGGGAACGCAACCAGAAACAAGGTTGTCAAAAAGACTTCCTCCATTTCCGTGACGTGAGAAACACCAGCGCTTGTACTTGGCACGTTACTCTCCACCATAATGACGATTAAAATGTACTTCGTCAACAAGTACTGATAATTTATAACAATTTTCAAGACATAACTAACCAATTAAATCAAATTTTTAAAACTAGCCATTTCATTGGACGAAACACTGGATGAAAAATATAGTAATTTGGTCACAATTGATTGATCACTGGGTGGTGATCAATGTCATGCTTGTCTAGTCCTTATTAGTGCAGATCGAATGCTACCAATCATGTTGCAATGTGACCATCAGTATAGGTGACTCGAAACTGCGGGCACCAACTAGCACGAAACCGGGTCCAGGGTTTCCTGCTGACTATCTCCAATCACCATCTAAATCTCAATGCATAGTGCCCGCAGTTTCGAGTCACCTATACTGATGGTCACATTGCAACATGATTGGTAGCATTCGATCTGCACTAATAAGGACTAGACAAGCATGACATTGATCACCACCCAGTGATCAATCAATTGTGACCAAATTACTATATTTTTCATCCAGTGTTTCGTCCAATGAAATGGCTAGTTTTAAAAATTTGATTTAATTGGTTAGTTATGTCTTGAAAATTGTTATAAATTATCAGTACTTGTTGACGAAGTACATTTTAATCGTCATTATGGTGGAGAGTAACGTGCCAAGTACAAGCGCTGGTGTTTCTCACGTCACGGAAATGGAGGAAGTCTTTTTGACAACCTTGTTTCTGGTTGCGTTCCCATCGGTTGAAGCGTTAAAGACCGGTATCACAAATTTTGATAGATCGACTTACAGTCATTATGTAGTGAGAGATTCGCATATTGGCAGAGATCAAAATTCGTATAATAAATTTGTGTGTTGGAGAAATGGGCGTATAAGATCTAGCGGTTCTTCACAGCGGATTAGACGGAGGAGGTGATTTGGTTAATGTTATTATAATTTTTCTCACGAAGGGCTTCCATGAACACCCAATGTCCGGCCTTCATGTTATGTAAGATTGTAGACGGCTACTGGACTGTTGTACGTGGGAATGTGCATCACAATCACGAGTGCAATTCCCTGAGGTACCAAGGTAATTCATTGGTGCGCAGGTTAACGGATGCGGAGTTTGAAACTGTGAGACCGCTGCATTCCACATAAAGAATTTTGCTTACCAATCTTATGGGAAACGTCTGACTGATCAAAATGTCTGTAATATGCGGTACAAAGTGTTCTCACATGCGAACCTTCCTGGTAAGCAAACCGCCAATTTATAATGTACACCATAGGTGATTACGGAAAATTACAAGCTCACATAACATCCTTGGGTGGGCTTTGCGAATACGAATTAAACGATGATAACTGTTATATCCGGTGAAGATTAAATTACAGGTAACTTCCGAGGACTATTCATGGACTAATATTCTATAAATATTCTTATTGTATAACTATTCAACAATTACGTTATGTATATTTATATCCCTCTTATTATAAGCTTTATTTTGACCTATAATTTATTATTGTACGATTTACGGTTCTTAAGTTATGTTCAGTTTATTAACTACTGCCTCCCTCATTCACAGCCACTTTTTGGGCTTATTTGTGTACAAATATTATTTCCTATTTTATGGTACGTTGCGGTCTGTCTGGTTGATATATAAACTGAGTATGTTTGAAATAAACGATCTGGTCTGATCTGCTCTGATTCGAAGCTGGTATTGTGTTCTGGACTCAAGTGGAAGGGCTCGTAGGACATAGGACCAATAAGGACGCTAAACTGCCCACACCGGTTGAACGTCATTGGTTGGCCTAGTGTGAAGATTCGTATAAGTCGTATTCGGATTGGTAGATAAATCGCGTGATCGAAAAGTCAGACATCCAAGGTCATAACAATTGGCGACGGGGTGGGGAAAAGTTTTGAACCCTCAACTTCAAGGTCATAACAATAACTGTCCATCGTATTTTTTCTTCACGACTGCTGAGCAAATGAATTTGAAAGGTCGTTTCTTTGATGTTATTGGTTTTGACGGGACGTACAAGACGAATGACGAGAACGTCTATTTATATCAGGTCGTAGCCGTTGATATGAATTTTAAGGCAATACCAGTTTGCATTGCATTTTTAAGTCGTGAAACGTCGACCATGATTTCTCGATTCCTCTTGTTTTTCCAACGGTCTACCAACAGTCGACAGGTGGTAGGCATTGTGACCGATTATTCACCTGCAATAGCTGCTGCCATCACGCAGGTCTATCCAAATGCCCACCATATTTTGTGTCGTGTACACCTTGTTCGCAATGTGATAAAGAGGGTAAGTGTATCGTTCATTAACATTAACCCATTAACCGTAAATGTAGAGGGTGCGATCAGAAATTATACAACTATTTTTTCGCCTGATGTTCACTCGAACGGTTGAAAGGTAAATCAAAAGGTGCATAACATTATTTTGTAGTTTTAACAATGCACTATCGTTAATCGAAAATTCCGACGGAACGTTTGCCAGATATGTGAGAGACCACCTACTACCGAAAAAACACATGTGGTCTACTGCTTTTCGACCATCACCAACGCTGCTTGAACTAAATAATACCAACTTTGTGGAGACGAGTCATCGAATTTTGAAGATGTATCAGCTTAATCGAAAAACACCGGTGCTGAGATCACAGCACGATGGAGCATTCTAGAATTCCAACGTGGCGTGCTACTATTGGTCGGTAGCATAATATGTCGCTAACGGATTGGCCGAAATATGATGTTGATTTAACAAACGTTAACATCTATAAATACCCATGTTTTTCTGTACAAGAACGAACCTTGGAGTAAAGTATTTCTCTCATACTTTGCGTCTTCTCTCTGGTGTTTAGGTCACTGTGTAGTTCTAGCTTGCGGGTTATCAGAATAGTTTAGGAAACGAATATAGCATTCAATCGACAAGACTTATCAAGTTCCTTTTTCCCAAAACTTTCTTTTAATGTGATACATACAAGTATTCGTGGCAAGATAACTAACGACTTCAATTGAAGGTTGACATTAAATTACTTGATCGGAAAGGGAAAATTTATCCCAATACACATTCACTAACAGTAGGATTACACGATCGTGCATTTCAGTTGGTGTTTTTTTCTTAAAATGTCTAAACTTCTTTCAAGACTAACATTACACAAAAAGAATTATTCATTATCATTATCATTTCAAATGTAAAAATGCAAATTATGACATCCAATCAAAGCACTTGATGCTATTTCGATTTCAACTAATTAGATTACAAAGATGAACAGTTTACGATCAATTACAACATTATTAAAGGTGACAAAATGTTTGTTCATTTTCACTTCAGTACACACTTCTAAAACGAGTACACCAATCAACGATACCTGAATTTTTCATTCACACCCTACCGTTTTTTTAGAATGGGTGGTAGTGAATCATAGTTGCCGGGCCCTTAATGTCAACCGAGCTTTCATCAACATATTTTGTTAGTCCTTTTTATTGATTATGCGATGTTGCAAGATGTTTATATGATATGAATATATAGACTTTCATCATGTAATTGAATTTTGTAGTGCGTTCTACAACCCAAACAACCTTCGCTTCCACCTTCCAAGTGTTCTGTCTACGCCGTGCTTTCAACGAACTGAAGCTCAGAATGGGTTTTTCGGAAAGTTTTAGAAATTTCACAGGTTGAAATGATGAGTCGATTGAAGCTAGACCACCATGGAAAACCTGGAATCACTGGATGGCCTTTTCGTCCTATTTCGGGATTCCTCGGCAGTTCGCATCCACGACCACGCAGTGCTCGAACCCAGGACCTACTGGCTTCGCTCGCGTGCACTTTACCACTAGACCGCTGAGCCGACATCCTAAATTTTTTATTCACACCCTACCATTTTTTTTAAAAGTGGGTGGTAGAGAATCATATTTGCCGGGCACTGAATGTCAACCGTTGTCGCTAGGCTAATTCTTATCCATTCAGCTCTAGCTGATATTTGGCAAACACTATAAAGTCTTCTCATGTAAAAAAACTATTAATGTATTAATGTTTTTCTTGTTGTGCTTCATACTTCCATTTGACCTTGTTATTTGGAATATAATTTTCTTTCCCTGTTCAACCGTGTTCTGATTTTGGGGACTTGTCAAATGAATTCATGTCCGAGATTACTAAGCAATAGGAATAGCTGGGTTATATGAAGCGAGAATTATAACACACACACACACACACCCATACTGAATACCTTATATATGTATATATACATTTGATATAATCATTTATTTTTCTTGTTTCCATTCATAAAAAAGCCTTTAGGTGCCGCTGATTATATGAATTTAACTAAACGTTTTCATACAATAATTTTATATGATGTACCACAAATGGGAATGCATAATTTACCAAGTTTAAAACGTTTTACACATTTCATTGATGTTCTATATGATACACATACTCGTCTTATTATTGGTGCTAATTGTTCACTTGAAAATTTATTATTATTATCTAATAATGATACATCTTCTATTGAATTACACTTTCATCATCGTCAATTAATGGATGATTTAAAGATGAATATGGTAGGTTTTATGATAGAGTAGTTTATTTATTTTAACACATAGATATTGGTACAAGGAGGCACCGAATACATATGCGCCACACAGGTCTCATTCGATATGTGTGAGAGCTGTGATACTATCCGGGTGACCAAACCGAAACAGGTGGTTATCTTAGGGATCCACACCCTTAGCCTTCGACTTGAAGGTCTGATCCACAAGGCAGTGGAGCATCGTAAGTAGATGCAGTCCCATGGTAGGCGGTGACCAATAATTGGTTCATACGCCGTTTGTTCCCTCAGGGTACTGGAGCCCATGTGCACCATTGGTTTTGAATTCGGTTGAAGCGCCGCACATTCGCTTTTCGTCCTCTCGATTTTGTAAACAACACCCCCACCACGAGAAGGCAGTGAGTAGGACTTACCTGTCAGAGGCTATATACGCGTGGCCACGTAAGAGCATTTCGAGAGAGAGAGCGCGGACTCTCCCCACTCTCGGCCGTACCAGGGCATTTGGGGGGTGATAGAATAGTAGTTGTATGGTTATATCATGGTAACGTTATCAGTGTAAATGAATATTTATCCATCCTTTTTTTGAAGACAACTTATATGTACTTCGATTTTAAACGCTGAGAGGGAGGGCGGAGATTTGTTGTTCAAATGGATGACTTTGATGAAGTTTTCCTCTCTGAGCTGGATGGTTTAGTTGTCCAGTTTTCATTGTTCTTGTGAATGATATCGTCAGCATAGACTTCAGGTAGAAATTCAAAAGAACAAAACTCCATCAAAATTTTGTAAACGCTTTTATTCATTCACATTCCAAAATTTTAGCTGATTTTCGATTTTTAGTTCATATGATGGTGTTCTACACATACCTAATTATTGGATGTGTTGCTTTGCAATGGTTACATTAGCATTTAAAGGATTACTGGAACGTAGCCGTTTTTGTGTTAATTATACACCTACATGATTGATTCTGACTTTTCAATCGTTTCAAACAGCTTGTGACTACCATCATAGTAGTTCTACTCTTTTTATAGGAAATTGTGAAATCTAATATATTTACGTTATTATATTTACATGCTTATACTTCTCGCTTGTGCTTGTATGTGTGCCTGTACACTCATTCTGTCCAACACTTGTCTTCTTGTCATAGTATGTATTATCTATTTTGAGTTATATTAACCTTTGTAATGTGTAATAGTTTGAGTAGGGAGATCTGCTTCTCGTCTGTCTATCGTAATGAATGCATGAAATCTAAGTGTTTGAAACACACGTATTTGACTCCGCTTTGCTATTAACGCGATTTATCGATAAGACATATAAAACGTAAGTAGTATCTATATTTTGTTTTCAGCATTAGGAGTTCTACCATATTAAAGTCAGATCACGGTTATAAAACATGTATCAGTCGATAAGCTCGTATAATGTTAGTTTAAGGAAATGTGCAGACTTTATGATTGTGATTTGTACAACTGTACAGGCTCCCAAATGCCTTGGTACGACCGAGGGTAAGAAGAGTCAGCTTTCATATGACCACGTGTATACAGACAAATCAAATTCGAGACAGATTTCTGAAGATTTAGTGAGTACCAGCTATGGCCTCATAATCCCCTGGTACGACCGAGCGTAAGGAGAGTCAGCTCTCACATGACCACGTGTGTACAGTCACTACCAAGGAAGTCCTACTCACTACCTTCTCGCAGCGGGTATGTTGTTTACGAAATTGAGAGGACAAAAACCGAATGTTCAGCGCTTTTAACGAGTTGGTGAATACAGAGCATCCACCTATGACAGTTGGAAAACCCTCATCCCAAACCAATAGTGCACATGAGCTTCAGGATCCTGAGTGAACAAAAGGCGTATGAACCTATTGTTGGTCATCGGCTGCCATTTGACTCTATCCCCTGATATTGCTCCACTGCCTTGTGGGATAGCCCCTCATAAGAAAGCCATCCGCTTCAGTTTTAGCATCCAGCAGTTATCAAGCCCTCATACAAATCGAATGATTTACGTGACGCATATTTATTCGGTGCCTCCTTGTACCAATATTTATGTATTTAAATAAATACACTTGACATCGCTCATAATCAATCGCATTAGTTCATCAGTCAGTCAGCTACAACATGGGACCAGGCACATATATGCATCGGTCCAGGTTGCCATACTGCATTAGCACAGCAAGATGAACACCGGATTCATATGAGTGGTTAGGTCAAAGGTGGTAATATATGGGAGAAAGATTGCATATAAGGATACAGTACAGGAAGAAAGAATTAGTTAATAGAAAGAAAGATATGAAGTGATTTGAATCTCTTAGTTGTTGCTACCTTGACGTAGTGGTCGGGCTTGCCTATCGTGATGAAGCAACCGAGCTATACTGACTGGAACAACTGTTCCTCAAAGTCCTACCGTGTCAGAAAGGTCGGTTGAAGAGCGGTAAGACTAAAAGCAACAAACCCAAGGTCCGAAGGCGAAGTCGTACTGCTGCCTGTACAGAGGTGTGACAGCAGTAAGGTGTTTTCTTCAGACAACCAGCATCTGCAGCGATGCTGCCTTCCCACAAGGAGGGGTGGGGTTAGAAAAGGTCGACCCTAAAAATGCACACCTCGCCTTATCCCACGGATATCCGTCTCCGGCGGTAAGGTCTCAACAAGTACGGAGCTAACACAAAAATTGTCCATAGAAAGGTCGTGTGTGACCGACCTTAAACAGTTGTCACGCTCCCAGGTCACTAAGACCACTTCTAATCCGATTTCCTTTTCAGGTACCTCCAGAAGAACCGTTCCACGGTGTGGGCAACCGGGAATTGATAACTGCCCTCCTACCTATAACAGCACTCAAGACCACTGTATTCATAATCAACCTCCCTCTTCAATTCCTATTATTCCTCCTACATCGACTTTAAACTCTAAACTTCTTCTTTCGGCTTCCCCCTCAAGTGTCACCATAGCATTAGTTCATATTCTTTACTTTATACATCTTGAAGTGAATTGGTGTTCCAAAATTTATTGGTTTATGAATGTGGAGTTACAGACAAGCTGAAGATGTCTATTTTAAACTATTGTCGTAATGTTTTTTTAAAATGTGTTATCCTTGTTTTTAATACAATTTCTTTCTAACAATTCTAGGATCATTCAACGAATATGAAAGCGTCAATATTTACAGGTGATGAAGATTTGTTTGCTTATTCTAGAACATTATCCAGATTACGTGAAATGCGTTCAAAAGTATATTGGGATCAAAGTGGACCAAATCGTAAAATTGACTAAGAAAACAGAACATAAACATTTCATAAAAAGATAGATGTTCAATAGAGTATTTGTCTTTATATCTTATTATCTATGAATTTGAATAACAGAAAGAACAATCCTACTTTTTATTATTTTTTTTCCTGTAGATAAAATATTATACACAGATGGATTAGTTTACAATACCCATACATTTTGTAAAATATAGTTTTCAATCACATCTAATAGTTGTTTGTCGATTAAATTCGTATTGTGTTCCATCTGAAGAGAGAGTTATGTAATTGAGCTCCCCTGACGCTAGTCGTTGTTGTCCAACGTGTTTCACTGATCCCAAGCACCACTAGGTTGTATCTCCTCAACTCTGCAGCAATTTGGGAGACTCTCTCGATGTTCCACATTGTACGAGCATTCCATGTACCTAAATAAATAGTTGCTCTGATTGTCAGAACTTAAAACAACTGTCAACCAATACCATGGTCAGGATTTTTAATACAAATGTCAACACAGTTCTACTGTATGGGGCGGAAACCTGGAGAACTACGAAAGCCATCATCCAGAAAATACAAGTTTTTGATGACAGTTGTCTACGCAAAATACTTCGGATCCGTTGGCTGAACACCATTAACAACAACCCAATGTGGGAAAGAACAAACCAGATCCCAGCGGAAAAAGAAGCGCTGGAAGTGGATAGGACGCAGATTGAGGAAAGCACCCGACTGCGTCACAATACAAGCCCTCACATGGAATCCTCAAGGTCAAAGGAAAAGAGGAAAACCAAAGAACAAATTACGCCGGGAAATGGAGATAGACATGAGGGTAATGAACAAGAATTGGATGGAATTAGAAAAGGCCCAGGACTGAGTGGGTTGGAGAATGCTGGTCGGTGGCCTATGATCCAATATGAATAACAGGCGTAAGTAAGTAATGTAATTGAGCACACACTAACTAAGTATATGTACTTATATTGGAATAGTACAACTTTATCGTGTACCATTCCTACTGCACAATGGGGATAATAGACGAAATTTCCATCACTGTCTTCAATAACTCTTTAAGAAGCTAAATCGAAACGGTTGAATTAAACGAAAGTTTATTTTATGTATTCAGTAGAAAACGAGAATCAATTTTCATGCAAAAAACGAATTCCTTGAATGTTTAGAACTCTGCATTCAAATAGCATGAATGAATAAGATTGTATAACAAGTTGTATCATGTTTCATACTAAGAGTAATACGTCAGAAACATTATCAATAATGGAACGGTCTAACTTAAGAAAAGACAAAATTGAAGAAACTTTAGTATTGTTTCGATTACACTCAAGTAACAAGAAAAGAATAGGCTTTGTCGAAAGAGCTGTTACCTACTGTCCTCTCTACATCTACGTACGACGCTCGGATCCGCATAAATCATGGACTAATGCTACGTTGAGTTTTTTTAAATCCGTTTCTATACCAGTAAGTATCTTTTATTTAGTCAGGCACACGTAACACTTGGCCAGAACATCTAAGTCAATAAAGAACCACCACTTCAACTGATTTACTTATTACCTAATGCATAACCCTAACATTCCTTTCAAAGTCGCTCCACCATGTTCTAGCAATCGGTGACCCCAACAGTAGCAAGCATAATCTACAAAAATGTTCTCGGTGAAACAAAGCTGTTTCCTTTATAAATGCGAACCAAACAAAATCAATCGCGCTTATTTGCCATTTAAATATTAGTACAAATAGTCACGAAAATTAAATGCACTACACAGAATATTCATCATTCAAAAGTCAACCGATACTAAAATTACGCCTAGTACGTTTAATTCTACTACCGCACCCTCAAATGATGGCATCACAGTATTGCTGAATTTCACTACTATACTTGTGCTAACTTCACTTTTCATATGTGATTACGACGTTACGAGGATCTATTTAAATTCCATTTCACCAATCAAGATTATGCTTGGAAGGTTCTCTTTCTACTTCGGAAATTCGGTAAGGTGAGTTACGTAGGTACGACAATTTGATTTTGCCTCAGAACATACATGATCGCTCATTTTCTGACATTGTTCAGTCATTAAGCCAACAGCTTAGAGATAACTCCTCATTGTTCAATACACGTTATCGATGTTTAAAGATGATTGTGAACGAAGACGCTGACTTCCCCAAGCAGGTGGTTTCCTCGGGGGTACACTTCACGAGTTTTAATACAGAGACACAATCCACAAAATGGTGGCGCAACGTTAGGAGATGCAGTCCCATGACAGCTGGTGATTGACAATGAGTTTACAAACCATTTCTTCCCTCAAGATCGCCGAGCTCATGTGCACCATTGGTTTGGAATCAGCGTTTTGCGACTCCCCTAGGTGGATCCTTCATATCCAACAACCAGCTGCTGCTACCTTGAAGTGGTGGTCGGGCTTGTCTGCCGTAACGAACCAGTCGAGATATAGTAGCTGGAAAAATCGTTCCTCAGGGTCCGACCATACCAGACAGGTTGGTTGAAGAGTGGTAAGACTAAAGGCAGCAAACCCAAGGTCCGAGGGCGAAGTCCTACTGCTGACTCCACAGGGCTGTGACGGCAGTAGGGTGTCTCATTCAGACAACCAGTATGATAGCTACGCTACATTCCCACAATGAGGGGTGAGATGAGAAAATTTTGACCCTAGAAATGCACACCTCGCCTTGTCCCACGGATATCCGTCTCCGGCGATAAGGTCTCAACAGGTACGGAGCTCACAAAAACGTCGCGTGTCTGACCTCAGGCAGTTGACCCTTGGGCATTGCGATCACGCTCTCGGGTCACTAAGATCACCTCTAACCCAGTTCCATTTTCAGGTACCTCCAGAAGAATCCTTCCACGGTCTGAGCAATCGGGAATTGATAACTGCCCTCATACTTCTAACAGCACTCAATATCGCTGTATTCATAATCCATTTCTCTAAGTTACCCGGTCTAGGTGCAGGACATTCACTTTTTGTCCTCTCAATTTCGCAAACAACCCGACCGCTCAAAGGCAGTTCGTAGGACTTCCGTGGTAGTGGCAATATACACGTGGCCATATGAGAGCATTTCCCCACATTTCGCCGAATCAGCGCATTTGGTGACTATCAATCGTACCAATCTATTTATCCTCTTTTCTGTTACATTAAAATCCTTATTTTAATTATATACTGTAATGGAACACTTGGTCCATTTGCTTTATATGCATGTTTAAATGTTCATTCGCTTTACTTGTAATAGAATTTATTTTCTACTCATTAAATAATTATTTATACCCTGTAATTCTCAAAGTTTTAATTATTTTCAATGATTTACATTGATTAATTATGACAAGTCAGTCAGTTATTGAATCATAGGCAATAAAGAGAATAGCATATATGTAAAAACTGTAACAGTTTAAGTTGATACACATTGTATAGTATTAATAATTGACTTTCTTTTAACTTTTTCAAATGGATAGTAACACTGACTTATTAAAAGAATGAAGTTATATATAAATACCATTGAAAACTTGAAAGCACTGGATGACTGTTTCGTCATAGTATAGGACTCAACAGTAGTGTACATCTACGGTCTCCAAGCTAGTCTTGAACTCAGGACCATGCATGTGAACGCTTTACCTCTGAATCAATGAGCCGGCATCCAACGATGTTAATGTCAACTATGAAAATACTACAATCTCTACAAACCACCATACTGATATAAATATATATATATATATATATATATATATATATATATATATATATATATATATATATCCCTTGAGTCAATACCAATGGATAAACGGTTAAGATAATGTAGTTGGGATAGGGTAGAATATATCTTCCAAAAAGACAAATTTCATGTCATTCAAACTACAAATGCCCTGGTACGACCGAGAGTGGGGAGAGTCCGCTCTCTCTCGAAATGCTCTCACATGGCCACGCGTATATAGCCTCTGCCAGGGAAGTCCCACTCACTGCCTTCTCATAGCGGGGGTGTTGTTTACGAAATTGAGAGGACGAAAAGCGAATGTCCGGTGCTTTAACCAGGTTGGTGGACATGGAGATTCCACCTGGGGGAGTTGGAAAACCCTGATTCCAAACCATTGATGCAAATGGGTTCCAGTATCCTGAAGGAACAAATGGCATATGAACCAATCGTTGGTTACCTGCTACCATGGGACTACATGTTCTTACGTTGCTCCACTGCCTTGTAGATCAGACCTCCAGGTCGAAGGCTCGGGGCTGTGCCCTTCTAAGAGAACCACCTGCTTCGGTTTGGGCACCCAGGCAGTATCACAGCCCTCACACACATATCAAATGAGACTTGTGTTGCGCATATGTATTTGGTGCCTCCTTGTATCAATATCTATGTGTTAAAATATAAAACATAAATACAAATAGAATAAAACTTTGTTTGTTTTGTTTTGTCTACAATAACCTACACCATTCACATTGATATTGCAATTGAAATTGTATCATTGATGTAAGATCCAAAATAAATGGACAGTAAAAGTATTGAAGGTTGAATATATATAAATATAAAGACTGTTAAATATTTATAATAATAATAATAATAATAATAATAGTCTATTTCTAACATTGAATAATGAAAGACATTCTGGCATTAAATGTTCAATAATTAAAACAATCCAAGTGAACTTTTCCTATTCTTCTCTTTTTTTGGTATTACACATCAACAAGATGATTCCTTTTTCGATGGAATTAACTATACATTAAGAGAAATAGATAAGTATTAATAATAATAGACATGGTATTATTATTATAATAAATAATGATTTTCTATATGAATGAACAATTAAACTATTTAAATGAATATTAAATGATCAATTAAATAATCATCGAACAATATAGACTACTTGGTTGGGATTCGTGTAACTATCGTAACCAATGGTTAGAGACTGTGGATGACATGGCTCAGACTCGATCGATCTGATAAGTCTTGCAGATTGAACGCTATATTCGTTTACTAAACTATTCTGTAACCCTCAAGCAAGAACTATACAGCGACCTGAACACGAAAGAGAAGACTCAAAGTATGCGAGAAGTACTTGACTCCAAGGTTTATTTCAATGTCAGTCAGTCAGTAACAACGTAGAACTTCGTACGTACGTACATCAGTTCGAGTTGCTACACCACATTAGCATAGAAATGCAGTTGTCGATTCAAATCCCGTAGTGGTAGAGGTAGCAAGAGTATAAGCAGTAATCGGGAAGATTAGTGTTTGGAGATGTTACTTAAAGAGTATAATCCAGTGAAATAAATTTGAGAGGAGAAAAAAAAGAGACAAGGAGGGGTAAGGAGATCAAAATTTAGGAGAACACAAAGAGTTTATGCACCTGCGCCATTGCAAACGATTTTGAGCCATGTCATTCAGGGTCTCTAACCATCGGTTGCTATCATCTCGCGGTCCCCAACCAGGTAGTCTACACCTACCAACATGACTCAGACCACTTGTCAGTGACTTCATAGACTTGTGCCATGTTTTGGTTTGGCCGCCCCTAGCTTTCTTCCAACCTACTCCTATACCACTGAACATAGCACGTCGAGGCAGTCGGTCGTTAGGCATACGTAACACGTGTCCAAGCCATCTCAACTGATGAAGTTTCAATGCAGAAAATACAGAGTTTTTATAATATTTTGAATGTCTTTGGGTTGCTAGAATATTCTGGAATGCTGCCAGAAATAGTAGCAGTGTAGCGGTCAGCCAATCAGAACCTCTGCATGTGACGTTTCGCTCCCTTGATATTTTTGGCTAAAACTTCAAGTGAACGCTGATTGGAGGAAACGCGTCTTAGTGTTTCCTGATCCTTGCTTGTCTTTGGCGAGAAATTTTCCGGATCACCCCAACACGATCACAGTGGCGTAGGTGTATACACTTTCTATCTTCCCTTAAACTATGAAATTAAAATTATTTCATCTTTCTTTCTACAAACTAATTCTTTCTTCCTGTACTATATCCTTACATAAAATCTTTCCTTTATATATTACAGCATTGAGTTAACTGCTTCTATGAATTTGGTGTTCGTCTTACTGTGCTAATGGGGTGTGGCAACTTGGACCGATGCATATATGTGCCTGGACCTACGTTGTAGCTGACTGATAGACATTGAACACACACACACATAAATCATACGTCAGGATTATTCCTCAGTTACAAAACGAATTCAAGATGTGACTTATTTTCTTCTGAATTAACATATATCTAAAATTGTATGGAGAGGATTTGTAGCTTAATTCTATCCGAAATTTTCACTGATGGTGTTGTCCAAGAGGAGATTGTAATCATGACGAAAATATGTATCTACATTAAAGAACAAAACTCTGCTGGAATTCTGTATGTTCAGGATGGGTTATAATTAGTTACAAAAAGATTTCCTTGAGACTAACTTCGTATTGGTAAAGGATAGTAAATCAGTTGATGAGGTTGTGAATCTTCATCAACTGAGATGGTTGGGCCACGTGTTACGTATATCTGAACACCAATTACCATGACGCGCAATGCTGACTAGTGTTGAAGACTGATGGAAGAAAGTTAGGGGTGGCCAAACCAAAATATGGCATCAGTCCACATAATCACTAACTTCTGGTGTGAGCCATGTTAGTTGATGCAGACTACTTGGTTGTGGTCCGCGTGACTATCGTAACCACTGTTTGTAGACCCTGAGTGACATAGCTCAGGATCTATCACAATGGTGTAGGTGTATACACTCTTTGTCTGCCCTTAAACTGTGTGATTAAAATTACTTAATACATTTCTTTACTAGACTACTTTACCTAGTAATCAGTAGTTAGCCGTTTTAGCTTATACCTCTTAGTAGTTAAATGAATTATCTACAAACTAGCTGTTCTATTATCGAGTGAAATAAAGAGATTTTTCCGATGTTGCTTGGATAATCATTTTAAGTGAATTCGACCATTATTTCAGTGAATTTTTTGACAAAACATAACCATTTTTATTGTAATAAAGCCATATGAACAGTGAACAATTGTTAATTTTATGAACCTATTGTTATGAAACTGAAACACTTTGGATAATGCAGAATAGACGAATCATGGCTAGTAATGAAATCCAGAATGGGCCTTTCATCTTACTTGAAGCTCGTCAACTGAATGGACCTGAATCTCAGAGTTGATATCCACTCCAGAATTCGAACCTAGTGCTTTTTAGCTTTGAACATCATCGTGTTATCTGATTAACTAGAGTCTAGATGGCCACTCACATGTGTAATGAGTATGAGTTTTAATGCAATTTGAAATGGTTCGGATTATCTCGCGCTGAAGAGTTCCAAACAGGACGAAAAGCGCGTCCTGGATTCCATTGTTAGTTATAGTCTATCTATTCTATGCAAACTTGCGGTATAATGACTATATCGAGGCAATCCGCACAGGATGCACATAAGCCAAGTAAAACTAATCGAATTTCAGTTAAAATATCAACAAACGGATAATCCAAGCCATTTCACTTTAAATAATGTACAGTACTGCTACTATTGATTCCTCTGAGGATTTAAGACAGATTTTATAAGTATTAAATAAATATTTTTTACTTACCTTAGTTACAGTACCACCAGCAATTGATTCACCGCCAACACGAAGCATAAATCGTCCAAGAGGTTTACATTTTTCATAAACTTCTATACAAATCGGTCTTTCAAATGTTAACTCTACATTTGCTGTACAATTACCAAGAAGACATCTAAAGAATAAAGAAATTAATGCAAAGTAATATTTAGAAAAATATTCACTAACAATTTGTGGATGTTTCAAGCACAAAACACAACAAAATCACAAACTACATAATATCATAACAATGCTTTTTGTTGATCAAATACATTGACTAGGGTGCACTTTACGTTTTTTAAAAGGGTCTGCTTGTTCAGAGCCCTTTATAAGCCTGCGCACCTAAAACTCTTCACAGAACTAAACATATCGATATTGTAGTAAACATAACAAATTTAGGCCGACAAGATGGAATAAAATATTTTACATTTAAAAACTCAATATCGACATTGGTGAACTACTGGCTTATCCTCAACTTTACTAGTTATAGCTGGTTATTTGTTTAAATATATAAATATTGGTACAATGAGGTACCAAATAGATATGCGCCACATAAATCATTCGATTTGTATGAGGGCCTGACGACTCCCGGATGCTAAAACTGAAGCGGATGGCTTTCTTATGGAGTCACTCTCCGAGCCTTCGACCTATAGGTCTATCCCACAAGGCAGTGGATCAACATCATGAGATACAGTCCCATGGCAGCCGGTGACCAACAATAGGTTCATACGCCTTTTGTTCATTCAGGATCCTAGAGCTCATGTGCACTATTGGTTTGGAATGGGGTTTCCTAACTGTCATAGGTGGATTCTCTGTATTCACCAACCCGTTAAAAGCGCTGGACATTCGGTTTTTGTCCTCTCAATTTCGTAAACAACATACCCGCTGCGAGAAGGTAGTGAGTAGGACTTCCTTGATAGTGACTGTACACACGTGGTCATGTGAGAGTTGACTCTCCTTATGCTCGGTCGTACCAGGGGATTTGGAGGCCATAGCTGTTACTCATTAGATCTTCAGAAATCTGTCTCGAATTTGATTTGGGCCCTTCATTGTACTAGTAACAAATTGTCTCAAACGTGTTTAAAACTGTTCAACGCTCCGTGTGTCACAATTTTCCCAATACCGATAACTTCATTCGATGAAAATCATTTCTAAACTATACAAATCTCCTTACAAAACGTTTTAATCTATTTTCTCGAAATTAATGTATCTCACACCAATATATATACTACTTATCTTGACAGACATAAGTAACATACACAGCACCACAACTGAGTTATAATTACCAAACAGACAACTAGTGATATCTTGACAAATTTATAAAAACACGTTATCTTAAGGCTACACTGTTTAGGATCATAATCAAAGATTATGATGATAGGATTCTATCTGTAGAATAATATGCTTTAATACGAAAGATCAACTGGCTGACCTTGGTTTTCGAACAACTTTTTCTATTTTGTTTTCTCGATGAGTCATGGATTTTAATTTAGTAACAGTGGCGGCTACATTGGCACAATTATAATAGTATATAACCTGAAAAGAGATAAGTAGAGAATATTCAATTTACAATTCTAAAATAAAGAACTGAATATCAACTGCCAACGTGTATAAATTGGAATACTACAATACAGTCAAAACTAACCAATAGTAACCTTTTATACATTGTCACTTATATACAAAGAGAAAAACCCACTAAACATGACAGAAGTTATACTTTAAAATTAATTTGTTCACACAACCCAAAAATTGTTTTTTTTTACTTGATCACATACAACTACTGTATATGTATTTCAGTAGTAAAGAGAAATTCCTTTACATTTTGATCGAAAATAACAAGGTGATTCAAATAAGGTGGATATTATCAAAATTCATTATAGTTATATCTTAGATGGACTTTCTACTTCATTATGTTAGCTAAAATCAAAGTCAGAATTTTCATTACAAACGGCAAGAAAGTTCAACTGTATGTAGATGAAAATTGGAGAACTACTGCAAACGTCATCGAAAAAGTGAAAGTATTTATAAACAATTGTCTACGCAAGATACTACAAATCTGTTGACCCGATACTATCAGCAACAACATGCTATGGCAGAAAAAAAGTCATCTTCCAGATAAAGAGTAAATTAAGAAAAAAACGCTAAAGGTAGGTATGACATATATTGCAGAAAGCATTGAAATGCATTACAAGGCAATTCCTGACATGGAATCTGCAAGGTAAAATGTAAAGCATACCAAAGAACACATTGCCCCAGGGACCGGAGGTAGATATTAAAGGAATGAATAGCACTTTAAAAATCTGGAAAGCAGAGCCCAGGACAGTGTTGGTTGGAGAATCCTGATCGGCGGCCTATGCTTCTCCACTAGAGATAACAGATGTAAGTTGTGAGTTGTAAGCAACATGTTTATTTTTTGTTGGATTCCTATTGACATAGTAATATACATAACCGAAATATAACAGAAGTTCATGAATATCCGCAATCAACTCTTCGAAAATTTATCTTCAAAAGACCAATTAACCATATATTACTGATCAATATAGTGTAAATAATAAAACATTCAACTACTACATACAAAAGACTTGGAAATTCCTACGTTCATTAATTGTGACAATATTTAGTGGTTAATTAGATGGAAGCTGTCGATTGAAAAGAATGATAATTTAATATTGTGATACGTTTTTTCAATGATGTTACTCAGTCAGTCAGCTACAACGTAGGATCAGGCACATAAATGCATCGGTCCAAGTTGCCATACCTCATTAGCATAGCAAGATGAACACCGGATTCATAGGAATAGTTACTTCAATGGTGGTAATATATAAAAGAAAGATTGCATATAAGGGTATAGTACAGAAAGAAAGATTTAGTACGTATAGAGAAAGATATGATGTTCCATGAATGTATATCAATGCGACAAGCAAATAAACTTCCTTTTCATTCGGTGCAACACAAAAACACCAGGAGCAAGGATTTCAGCAAGACTGCGTTCACTGAGTTAGACAATTTGAAAATATTGAAAACTAGAACCATTATAGAATGACTGGATGCTCAAATATACCGAAAGAAAGAGCACATATACAAATTAAATTCTTAAATACAATGACAACTATAGAAAAATTTGCAAAATCAACTTCTAATCAGAAGAATGACGATACATTGTAGCACACCAATTATACGGAGAAATGAAGTAAGGCACCAACTTTTAAAGGAACAACTGCTCACCCCAATTTCATCAAATAATATTTATCAAACTCATCAACAAGTAAATAAAATCAAATATAGAAAATAACAAACGAAATATCCTACTATATATGAGGAAAATATTGGAGAATACAAATCGACTGTTGAAATGTAGGCGTATCTCATAAACCATCCAACGCTATGCAAACAGAAAAAACACAATAACAAGAGAAGTGTGGTATTATTGACAAAATAAATTGTTTCATCTGCGAAAAATACAGTAACATCTAGAAATGATATTGTTAATTGAATAATATTCAACTAACATAAATGAGGCAAGATTCATAAGGTAAATAGGACAGTTAAAACAATAACGACAACCAACGAAACTGACAACAATGACACTTACAGGATAACCTTTCGTAATAGGTTGTTGTATAGAGAATACTAACAATTTAGCTGAAATACAAGTGGATGGTTGTATTGGATTGTCTGGATCAGTAAGTAAATCACCAGGAATAAGAGTTTGAAATGGATCAATATCTGTTAACATCAACGCCACTTGATCACCAGCAAATGCAAATTTAACAACTTGATCTAACAATTTGCCTCCAAGATCACCTGAAAGACATATATGTAAACGAATAGTGATCAGGCATGTTTATTGCACGTCAAAGTAACCGCCTTCCCTGAAACGCAGTGTTCGCTAGCATAAGGATTTTGATTAACATTACAACTGGAAGTATTAAAACCATTCTTATTACTATAAGGAGAGATGGATAGTGGCTAGCAGTGGGAGTCCAGTTTGATGCGCATTTCGTCCTATTTGGGACTCGTCAGCTGGATGTATCTGCGCCTGTGTTGATGTCCACACTGGGACTCGAACCCAGTACCGTTCGCTTCAAACCCCATCGCGTTATACACTTAGCTACTGAGTCCTGATAGCCACTTGCACAAGCAAGTGGCAAATAACAGAAGTGGGTTATTAAGTTTATTTGATGATAATCAGTCACATCATTGATGATGATTTGATTTATTGTTTACAAACCATATCTGTTGAGTACACTATCATATGTTATCAATTAAAAACATAACATCTTTAATCATAAGTCTACTTAAACACTGGTTACTGACTTCCTAAGCCGTTTTCTATATCCCCAGACTAATTTTACGCTTGAAATTGAATGGTAGAGAAACCACGCAAAATATGAGTAGAAGCTTTACTCCAAGGTTAATCCATGTACAAAAAACCGAGTTTATAGGTTTTTGGATGATCTTGATCTTGTAGAAACTTCTGAGAATATACTAAGTATGGTAAAAACATAAATAACTAACCAACCAAGATGTGGTACATAATACTTCACATTTCAAATGCTTCTGAGAAACTTCTATTCAATCGTTATTGGACAGAATATTTCTAACCTTTTCTGTGTTTTTACAGACTATTAATGGATATGTGTGCGCTCCCAACAAATACGCTACAATTATCTCGAAGACGCTAACCTTGAAATCTGCACATAACATGGCTTAGTCCAACAGTCTATGGAGTACATAGGAATGATACCATATTTTGATGCAGCCACCCTTGAATACGTTTCTAATCTATTCCTATGGTAGTGGGCAGACTAGAACATCAATATAAAACAATTTTATTATAACTTCAGATCAAATATATATAACAGAAGAAAAAGTGAAATTGTTGAGTAGGCTTTCGGAGAACTTCAACGGAGCCTCCAGGGGCCCAAAAGGAGCCGAAAAGTCCTAGCCAATCAGAGCACGATGGAGCATTCTAGAATTGCAACATGGAGTGCTACTATTGGTCAGTAGCATAATATGTCGTTAACGGATTGACCGAAATATGATGTTGATTTAACAAACGCTAACATCTATAAATACCCATGTTTTTTCTGTACAAGAACGAACCTTGGAGTAAAGTATTTCTCTCATACTTTGCGTCTTTTCTTTGGTGTTCAGATCGCTGTGTAGTGCTAGCTTGCGGGTTTCCAGAATAGCTTAGGAAAAGAATATAGCGTTTAATTCGCAAGACTTATCAGAAGTATTATGATATTTATATGATATGATCGTGTTCAAAAATGACGTCACTGTTTAGTACCATAAATACTATGGGATTATTGAAACTATCAGTATAATCAGTAATGCACATTTCATCTAACATAATTTAAAACTTTGAAGTAAATTTCAAACTTCTAAGAAGAAAAGCGATAGAAGTGATAATACAATAGATTTCTAATTCTTGTTATTCAACGGGGTTATTAATCATTGGAATAAAAGTAGATTCCCTCTGACTTGTGAACTTTATAATTAGACAATAAATGTCTTTAATTCTAAATTCTAAATACTACTACAGAACTAATAAAATAGGGTTGGAAGATAAAATTGCAAAATATTCACAAAACAAATTTATATGGTAATTTGAACCTTTAGATTGACAGTAGAAACAATAATGAATCCTTCTAGAATATATATATACCTCAAATGTTATGTTTATAGAAAGAATGTGAAACAATTCACTTCAATAAACTAACCTTCAGCATCATTTTGACCTGTACGAGTATTACACAATGATCTGATAGATTTCACACAAGTTCGTACATCACTTGGCAAACAAATAACTTTACTTGTAGGTATATTTACACCACTAGAAATAGCTCCAGATATAACTCGTCCAGCAACCATTGGTACACTGGAACCAGCAGGTTTAAATATATCACTGACAACAAAACGAAAAGGTCCATCAACAATTCTATCTGGTGATGGAATTGAATCTAATTAAATAAATAAATAATTTTAGTTAAAATATGTTATAATTAAATGAATAACATAAAAATGTAAAGTATTTATTTGATTAAGCTTTATAATTGAACAAAATCATTAAAATACTTATGAAACTTTCACATTCGTCAAAAAAAGGGAGAAGTCTAGCTTAATAGTATGACCATGAAATTGTTTTGAAAGCTAATGAATAACATTTGATAGATAGACAATTATATCATGTTAGTTTTAATCTAATATATTTGAGCACATAAATATTGGTACAAGAGGGCACCAAATAGATATGCGCCATACAAAACAATGAGAATGGGAAGAGAAAAAAGAAGGTAAGGTGTGTGTATAAGGAAAAAAAGAACAATAACGACCACAGATTAGTGTAAGGTAGTGTAATAATAATAATGGGGGAAACGGACAGGTACAACCAGAAGAAATCTTTCAGTTAAGGAAGATAAAACCACTTTTTATGAAGAAAGTAAAAGAAGGTTACAGCAGGATCGACACTGGCCTCTATTCTGAGCCACTGTGTTACACCAATTGTAAGCCCCCAAATGCCCTGGTATGGCCGAGAGTGGGGATAGTCCGCTCTCCCTCTCGAAATGCTCTCACACGGCCACGCGTATATAGCCTCTACCAGGGAAGTTCTACTCACTGAGTTCTCGTGGCGGGGATGTTGTTTACGAAATTGAGAGGATGAAAAGCGAATGTCCGGCGCTTTAACCAGATTTCAAACCAATGGTGCACATGGGCTCCAGTATCCTGAGGGAACAAATGGCGTATGAACCAATTGTTGGTCACCGGCTACCATGGGACTGCATCTCCTAACCATGCTCGACTGCCTTGTGGGTCAGACCTTCAGGTCGAAGGCTCGGAGTGTGGCTCCCTAAGAAGACCACCTGCTTCGGTTTGGGCACCCGGGCAATATGACAGCCCTCGCACAAATCGAATGATTTATGTGGCGCATATCTATTTGGTGCCTCCTTGTGCAAATGTTCATGTGTTTAAATAAATAATTAATTGTAACAATTATCAACACTAAGCTATATTTTATTATGTACCGAATTAAATTAATACAAGTTTAAATTTTTGGTTTACATTATGTTATGAAAACATCAAAAGAAATCTAATTTCTATCTATTAAAATATCACAAATACATCGTCATTTTATCATTAACATTCTATGCAATACTCAGTTTATTTGAGTTTATTAGCTCTAAACTTAGTAATTATACTTTACTCAAACTTATTCTTATCATTCATAGTCTCAAATCGAACGAACAGAAGGCAAGGGAAACGTTTATGTGTAAGTGTACGGAATGTACAGAAATGGGTGTGTTTGTAGTTTTTTGGTATAGGTTATATCATTATAATCCAGCCAATCTGCAAGTAGGAAATTTATACAATTGTTCAATCATAGCATGACACATTGCTATCCTAGAAGGTTCTATTAGTTTCTGATTGGATGGAGTCTCTTTAGCCCCTTTTATAACCTCTGGAGGCCTCGTCGCGCTTTCTGGAAGCCTTCCTAACAAAAAGCATACTCCTTTAAATACAAAACTTATCTGAAATATAATTTAGTAATAATAATAAAAATGTCCATTATAAACCTTGGAATTTACTTATAAGCCATGTAATGTCAAAATATGTATTTAGCCTCCACCGATTTTCTCAAAAGCGATAGATTATGAATTTCGAAAGACCAGCGTACTCATTCGATAATAATGATAATAGTAATAACAATAATAACAAGGGACTTAAAACTTTCAAGGTACATAGGTGTATTTGTGAATTTGCATGTATTTGTGATAGCAAGTGTATAGGAAGGAGAGAGAGAGAAGGAATTCTACTAGGTTTTCCGAACACATTCCTAGAAACCTATAGCTGAAACGGAGTATAGTCATCACAAGTGCAACTGCCAGACACCTTTAAGATAGTGGATATCAAGTGAATGTAAGTTATGTGTTCAAAATAATTAACAGACAAGATGGTTTTTGCACAGGTTTGATTATTATATTGCAACCTATAGATGAAACAATATAAATAGATACATAATTGTAAATCAGTTTTTTCTGCTGATTTAATGTGACAGCTAGGGACGATGAACAGGTCCTATGTTGATTATGACGACGACATTGACACAGAAACAAAATTGTTTGTAAGAACACTAGAGTCACACGTAATACAATGAGGGATTATTTATATCAATAGCATTTAAATGAAAGCACCATCAGTTCCAGAAGCAATAAATGTTAAACAATTACAGAACCACTACTTACCGATAAGTTCGAGTAACGAAGGTCCCGTATACCACGTAAACAGGTTAGAACCTGTCTCTGAAGTATTTTTACTGCTATTGGACAAGTTTTGAGGTACTAAGTTAGCCCCGACCAACCCAGATACTGGACAATACACAACTCCGGAAAAATTCATAGATTTTAAAAAACTAGATATTTGTGTCTGAATTTCATTGAATCGTGACTGACACCATTCTACTGTATCCATTTTGTTTACAGCGACAATTAAACGAGAAACTCCTAATAAACGAGCCAATCGAGCATGTTCTCTTGTCTGACCTCCAGCACCAATTCCAGTTTCAAATTCACCCCTAGTAGCATTGATAACTAGGAGAGCAGCATCAGCTTGAGTCGCACCGCCAATAACTTGTGGAACAAAATCCTTATGTCCAGGAGCATCCATTAGAGCAACCTTTGCATATCGAATAAAAATAAGTATCGTTTCAATACACAGTATGCAATGAATCAAGGTTAGGAAGAAGATATATGTTGTCTTTAATGACAATTTATTAAAAATAACTCATTATTCATTTACTGTTTAGAACATCTTCTTACCACCTACACACATTTTATTTCCACCACACAAATATAAATCACCAGATATATGAAAAAAGTCGAGAAACAGGATTTTAATAGAGTAAAAATTAACGCATAAATGTTGAGTTAATCACTCATAATATAACTCGATAACAAAGTACAAGTTAGTGTACATCATTTTGAGTTAATTATTGAAAGTGAATTGAATTGGACCCTGAAACTATAACCTAATTAGCTATAATTTATGTTTTTGAATAATTAAACTTCACTGTTCAATAAACAAAAATAGAAGGCAAATACAGATGTCATTAGTTCTTATAAACCGAGGAAACACTTAATGCTTCAACAATTCACTGGAAACATTAATAAATGTCTTAAAAGTTAAAGGATTTGTCGTTTGAATGTAGATTAGAATTACATTCCATCTATTTATATTTTGATAGTATCACATAATAAAATTGTCGGTATATCTGATGATTGAATGAAATTGGAAGTGAAGAATGAAAGGTATAGAATTATATGCTGACGTAAAGAACTTACAAGATAATGAAATATGTATTGTTGCGATTGAATTCAAGCTGAATATCAGCTTCGATAAAGAAGCCTGTACCTCACCATAAATAATTAATAATATGGTAGTTAAGTCCTTTTTTAGCCTTTTATTTTAGCTTACAGTATGGTCAACATATGTTACTCCCGTCATCAATATAGAAAACCTACTGACGATATCTAGTCAGTTGTGACCAATATACGACTTCTTCAGTTATGGGAATCCAACCAAGTTGTCACAAATATCAATTTAATAAGATTAAAAAGAATATACTGTGCCATTGACGGCAATAAAAGACTAACAAATATAGATTTAAGAGAATGAATGAAATTTTTAAAAATGTGAAGTAGGAAATAATGTTAAAGCTCAAGATCTGCAGAAAGCATAAGCATGAATACATCGATGTCATTAAAACCGATTTCAAGCTAAATCACTTATCTTCTGTAACCATAGATTACGGTTAGCAGTGGCTTAGTGGTTAGGGCATTTGGCTTCCAACCCACTAAGTTGGAAGTTCGAATTCAGTTTCATCTACTTTGGCTAGGACAACGAGGTTGTAGTCTCACTAATACTCACAAATAGAATGTGACTCGAAGTTAAGTACACAAATATGTACTTAGTATATGTTGATTAGAAGACTGAACTACATGACTCAAATTAACAGTTAGTAACCTCATGAGTTGGTGATTCTAAATGTTTTATTTTCGTTACTGTTAGCCCTTTCCAAGCCTATCCCCATGCTACCTAGTATAACTTATTATGGTAAATGGTGATTGAATATCCGTAATACGTGTTCACATAAATCCAGTTGATGAGGCATTTGGTTAGATTATAATTTATGGACGACTTTTGATGGATGCTTAAGTGACCTTAAGAATGTCGACCAACTTACTAGCATTAAATGAAGGTTATAAATTAGTGTGGAGAATTCGGATTAGGATTTACGGCTGGACAGTAAGGTTAGGAACTAGAGTAAGGTTTTTCATCACGATCTAACATCAGCTATAATGCCAAAATATTACTAAACCATATGGATGAACGAATTTCGCACCAAAATTCAAGACCTGATATCCTAAATCTGATTTGTTCGTCCATATATTATGGTCTTGCCGTATTAATTCACCAATGTTCCTTCCTAAAAAGATTGACTATGATTAGCCTTAAACACAATGAAAATCACAAATTAGGCATCGGAAAATATTTATGTTCATATAATGTAGATTTTGAAAGCATAGATATAACCACATAGAAATATGAATATATAAATCATACTTCTAATCTCTTACTCGTTTTGATTTTGTTTCAAATGAAGTTTGTGCAATATCCATTGTAACGCCACGATTTCTTTCCTCTGAAGTTTGATCTAGAATCCATGCATAGGCGAATGATGCTTTGCCCAGTTTTTGTGCATCCCATTGGTATTTAGCTAATTGTTTGCTAGAAACATGTCCCAACAAACAAAGTAGATTTCCCATTAGAGTGCTTTTACCAGCATCCACATGTCCTATTAAAAAAAAACAAATACATACATATTAACATTGAAAAGTTTTTACGACCCTATAAACAGTATACTGAATTGGTGACAGGATATCTTACATTGTTGATAGTTAACATGAGATTTATGGTAAGATACCACGCTAATATACATTAATATACGCTAACAGCTTCAATTAGAAATAGTGAGATATTATTAGGAAAGAGAAAAATTTAGTTATACTTGTTAGCTTAAGTAATTTAATCCATAGACATTGTAAATTGTACACACGTACTAGACTAATTGATTAGTTTATGCCAAGTACTGCCTAGATCAATGTACTCAAATTCAACTGTTGACCAGATAATCAAATTATATGTAACTCAGTGTATTATGGTATAGTTCTGATTAGCATTAGATCAGTTTTGAATTTACTGTTGATCCATAATAAAATCTTTATCTGAAGTCTTTCTTTCTTGAGTTAAGCTACATCAATCTTTGATCAGTTATGACAAGTAGTTGTACTAGTGTTTCGTTTTAGTTACAACAGATATTATTTTGCCTATCGTCTCTAGAAACATATCTACATTTCCGTGAATGGTGTATTATTAATGTTTGACACAAAATATAGTCAACGTACCTCATCCGGCACTGGTTCATAGTTTCACTAAATACTTTACTTAACCTTAATGCAAATCAATTGGTAATTTGGACAAGTGAGAATGATACCCAAAATCATTGTGACTAGAAATATTGTCATCTTACACTTAGTATTCAGTGACCGTAATAAAGAATGGGGAGCAGTGTTGATGTCATGCACATATTTAGACTAGCAGTACAACTTGGTAGGTGTAAAAAAACAGAAATCAAAACAATATCGTACAGAAATAAGTCGAGATAGTACAGTTAAAAGCAAGAATGTACAATCATGATACAAAAAAGTAAACGACATTGGTATAGCTGAACGAAATAGACTGTTGTAACTTATGCTTAATTGAAGAAGCCAGTTGTTTAACGACGGCGACTCAGGCACAATGGACGTGGTGAGTGTTTCAGGGGAAGTGTAAGCCATGATCGATAAAAAAAATCACCAATGACAGCATTAAACGCCTACTACAACATTGACCCTTTTTGACCTTGTATGACTATGTCTTGTCCATTCAGCAATTACAATCTTTTATGTTTGTCATAAAAGATATTAAGTTTCGCTGATTCACTTTTCCTATCCTCTAGTTACTGTCCGGTATGTTATGTCGCTTTTTATTCTTGTCTATTAGACTGTATCAATTGTTTTTTGTATACTAATGGTGTTACTTTGTTTTAGAAAGATAGTTTATCAAGCCAAACAACTGACTTCTTATGACTTTGACAAGACTAAGACTCCATGTTGGACAGACTGAAAATTAGTCAAGAATTGAGTTTGTGGGAAATTACTCCCTACAACGGGGTCAACACACGAGACATTTTCTCGTCACTAAAGACGAGGATGATAGATGTCTACATGAAAATATGTGAAGCGCAATCGCAAATAATCGATAGAGTTCGACCAGTCCTAAGGACTAGACACACAGGACATTGGCCACTGTAAATATCATAGTTCCACAACAGGTCAGTAGCGACCTGAATAACTTGGTGGTAATATCTCAAACTGTGAAGCGAGGTGAAGCAAGTTCAAGTCCAGGAAATAACGTTAGTTCCTTTAAGATTCCAGGGGCTCCTTGCTGACGAGTTTCAACTAGCAAGAAACCCAGCTCCACAGTCTCTTAGCAACTACTACTAACCACCAAAATCGTAGATTTATAAAGGTAATTATTATCCAGTGAAAAAGCATACATTGATAACATTTTAGACAGGAAGAATTAGTTAAACTTACCCATAACGATAAGATTAATAATCTCTTTTTCTGCTGACTCTTTATGCAATTTAGAATATTCGTTTACCAAAGAATGCCGGTCAATGGGTTTACTAGGAGTTGCTGAATTATTGCCCGGAGTACGTAAGAAGTTAGAACGTTCATCAGAATGACTAGAGATAGTCAATTTCTGAGAAAGAGATAAATTTAATAATGATGTATCGGTATGATTGATCCCTTCCGTAGGACGTGCTTGAGGTACACATAAAGCTGCATACATCAACATTGATACAAAAAGAAGTATTAGCAATATTTTCCCGACCTTGTATATATCAGACACCAAACAAACCGACAAGACGAAAAATTCACTTATAGCTGACTGGTCATTGAGTAATGACGTGTCATGTTTGTTTAGTCATTTTTAGTGTTGATCGAGTTCTGTTGATTAAGTTGCAGTGTAGCCACTAGTCCAAATGACTCTACATCGCGTGCACTATGTTGAGATATCAAGTTATTGGAGGTAATCGATAGGAAACCCTGAATCCAACTCTCGTGCTATTTGGTTCTCACCATTAAAGTATAACTGTGATCTTGAGGAAATTGATCCTCCGTTACCTAGCCTCAATTTTCTCAAAACTGCAGGCACACAGTGCTGATGAGTTCCAGATAACACAAAACCAAGATACAATACGCCCTATAAACTACTCATAACCGCTTAACAAGGTCTACTTGTTGATTTTAATTGTTTAACTCGATAGTAAAACCTCTCATTAAGGCACAGATCTAAGGAACCGTTCTTATGGTATGATTTTGGACAACAACTATGTGCGAACAATTGCCTATGCGATAAAACCACTGTAACGCAATGACTTAATCTTTCTCAAAATTTGAGTTGACCGTGATTCATAATTACTTATTCTTTAATTGAATTTGTTGGTTGCATCAACTGAGAACAAATAAACATACTTAACACGCAGGATTAATCAGTCAGTCAAACACAACGTAGAACCTAGCTGTTGTAAATCGGTTAAAGTTGCCATGCCCCACTAGCACAGCAAGATGAAATCTTCAGAACAAATCCCATAGTACTATGCACAGTAACAGTATTATTAGTTACAGAAGAGATCAGGCACAAAATATACGACTCGGTAAAGTATGAATTAGTAAGATAAAACGATTATAAGGAATTTAGATACTTATGATCTAAGGGAACGCAAAGTGTAAGTGAACGTGAATAGTAGTACAGTTGGTTTTATTTTCTCCAGACATTCAGAACAAGTAAGCACCTTCAGATGACTGACACATGATTTCTAAAATATTACGGTAAACAATTCTTATGTTCGAGATCATTTAATCGAAGTACAGAAAACATTTTTGTTTGTAAAATAAATCGTTCATAAATCTGCATGAGTACTCATGAGAGCTAACCCCACGGTAACACTGTTTTGTTAAAGCGACTGTAAGATACTTTAATTCTTACTAGATGAAAATCTCTGCTATACTCAAAAAGCGTTAAATATATAACTGACGAATACATAATGTATAGCATACCATGTGCTGTGAGTTTCCGTTGACTGCACGGCTTTGTCGTTACACTAGCTAGTTTTGAACCACCACGTTCAAAAGTCTTTGGCTCCGGAATATCGAAAACAAATCCAGAGACAGTACGAGGTGCGAATAGGTAGTTATAAATGGGTGAACGGGTGCGGACTATAATGTTTGAAAACCTTGATAACATTCCATCAAATCCTTTCGATTTATCAGCGGTATACGATGACATCAACAAGCCAAAGAAACTAGGAGTTTTATACCCTATGAGACACCCAGCACTGTTAATATTTTTTGTCGGAATATCATAAGTTGTAATGCCAGCTAACTTTGAAATACTACAGTTGGAGCTAAAAAGGTTAGTTGTTTTCGACAAAAAATGAAGGTCAGTTGATTTCGACTTAAGGCGATTTGTGGTATCTTGTACACTAAGTGTGGTTTTAAAAGGCTTCTCAAACGACTGTTGAGCTGAAGAGGATTGTGAAGTTAAACGATCAAGCAACTCAAAATCCAACTCCTCTACTTTGGACTTATTTACAGAAATTGTACTGTTCACTAAGTTATCTTCCCCAACGACACTTGTGTTCAAACGTTTAAAATTACCTACGATTTATTAAAGAAATAAACCAAGGTGATAACCCACTTGAGTCAAAAAGATCACTGTTGCCAAACACCTCATCAGATCCATGCACGCTATCATTTTGACCCGCAACTTCGTTATTTTTTGGTGCGGAGAAATCAAATGCCTGACAAGACCCTATTCGTCCAGACACAACTCCAGGAGAATCTTCTGTGGAGTGAATAATCGATATTTAAAAAATAGACAGAACTGACCTGGTTTAAGGTTTTTGGAATCATTTTCCGGGAAATCTTCCGCTGTGAAACTTAATGGTTTGACATTCTTTAAAGATACTGATATGTCTTGCTTGAATACACTGTCCGGGTTATATATGTATCGTTCTGATGTGTTCGGGGATATTGTATAGTCATCATCAACTGAACTAGCGAAGGCTTCGTCATAAGTATCGACATCTATTTATTAGTTCAGTTTCTATTAAAACAATGGTAACGCGTACCATCATCACACAACGCTCTTATGTTTCTGTGCCGCGACATGTACCGAAAAATTCACAACGCCACACTGAGTATTAAAATGTCTCAATAAATGATGGTTCGAAAATAGTTCTGAATATTGCAGATGTAATAGAAGAAACTCTCACTTAACGAAGTTTCGTATTAAGTAGCGACTGACTCCCTGTGTCTTTAGATAGGGACCTAAGGATGTAATATTTTAGCCTTAAAAGTGAGCACAACAATGTTGAAGTTTTACTTCTGAGATGCTAAGAGTGAATATTTTTGCAAACGAATCCAACTTATTATATAATTCCCATAAAACATTACAAAAGATATGCGACCTAAAATGTTGGATAATGGAGATAATAGATTTCCATAGCGTATATAGTTTGAGATGCTTATTTTTCGACTCACACTTTATCCTTTTGGAGATGGTTGGATCTGTGGAGCAACTGTTTATAAACTCCTTGGCTATCACCCGTTGAAGCTGCGTTTTTGGTCACTTTCAGCCTTTTATACTTATCCTAATGTAAATATCAACGTTTTTCACTTGTGTTTAGCTTTGTTAATAATTTCCATAGGATATTACCTCTTCAATCAGTTGTGATTGTCTCTGGAAGTCATCTATATGGTAATTCATTGAATGAATCGCTTTTTGAGGACGACTTGCAGTTTAACAGCTACAAAATTCGGGTTTACGACATGTGAGCTTGTATATTACCAAGTGCTGTAAATCGGCTTCTCTTTGCATATGTAGTTGATTCACTTCAATGAAACTTCGGGACTTTTCAATCTAATAAAAAAACTGTCAGGTGACAACACAATTCCGTCGGTGAACCTAGAGCCTTACAGTGATGAAACTGTAAACATTGTTGATAACTTCAATCCTCATTCTGAACTGAAAGGTCAAGACTAACATCGCCTAACCGCCTAGGGAGAAAAATACTCTGATTCCGGCCATGACTAAGCGCAGTCGTAGGGTTTCGAACTTTCAAAAAAGTAAATTGCCACTCTATAAAGCATACCTGATATAAATTTTGATATGGCAATGTGTATAGACGAATTATATATGAAGAGGCCATAAATCTCACATGAGACAAATTAGATCGTTTAATCGGGGAGGAAAGTCTAAAAGTTAAATCATTAAAGAGTAAAAGATAAAGTTTCCTCATTTGTTGTGGAGAAAGACAATGGCTCAATTGCAAGAGGTGGACACGATTCTCGATGAAACGCGATCAATTACTTCTAATATAGAGGAGTCAAAGTACATGAAGTCCACTATACAGAATATATGATTCACAACTGGGTAAATCTGCTACTAGGAATGTAAAGTCGGCAGACGGTTTTGCAGTACATGATATTAAGTTATAAAAACTCAGGAATTTTTGTGAGGATGCGACCCAACCTTGAAGCTACTATTGAAGGAGGTGGCCTATAAAGTAAAGGCCTACAAAACTCAAAACTTTGATGAGCACGTCCTGTTTGGTTGGTCACTTAGTAGCCGAATAAAGAAGAGAGAGGCTATATTGTAGCTGAAACCTATACAGCAAACTGGAGAGACAAAATGTCTGTGGTGTACTGAAGTCCCACCCGTGAACCATCCATGGATTTACCCAACAGTAAACCTGCTGGATGGTCAGCAGACGAATTGACCGACTTTGGGATTAGGCTTTAACATCCGAAACTCCACCTTCACCTCTTCTAGAGAGTGTTGAGCGTGGGGTCGGCAACCATATCCTGCAAAAGACAACCTTGCTAAAAAAACGCTGGGCAGAATAAATAATTTAAACCATCCAAGCTCTACCCTGAGAGTTGGAGGAGAAATTATGAAGCCTCGTGACGAAAGCCGAAATTCTTCGGAAGTCACGGGTTCGATCCATCTTCTAACAACCACAGCAACAATTAACGTGGGTACATGGAATGTTCGGACAATGTTAGATACTGAGAGGGCCAGTCAGATGAAGAGATACAACTTGGCGGTGCTCGGGATCAGCGAAACCCATTGGGCTCAAGCTGGACGGCAAGATTTATATACTCCTGTCACGAAGAGGAAGATCCTCCGCACACTCAAAGAGTTACTCTGATGCTGTTCAGAGAAGCACGAGGTGCACTTATAGGATGGGAATCTCATGGGTCCAGGATTATCAGGCCATCCTTTAAAACAAAAATAGAGGAATTGCAATCAATGTTATCCAGTGTTATGCACCCACCAATGACAGCAGTGAGGACGATAAACATCAGTTCTATGAGAGTCTGCCAGCAATCATAATAAAATGCCCAAGGATCTCACTATTCTGATGGGAGATCTAAACGCCAGATATTAAGATACCATGGGATGACACGAACTGGGAGGAAGAAACGAAAACGAGGAGAGATTTGGAAACGTATGTGCACTCAGTAAATTGTTTAGAGGTGGCACAATATTCCCCCACAAACACATACACAAAGCTACACGGGTTACGCCGGATCACACTACACAGAACAACATCAATCATGTTTGCATCACTAAAATATTTAAAACGTCGATGGAAGACGTGAGAACTAAGAGAGGAGCTGACATAGCTTTAAATCACTACCAGCTTGGGATTATCAAAATGAAGCTGAAGCCAAAAAAACCATGGACAATTGGAGAAACAGCATTACAGAGGTTTAATACAGCCTTTCTTCAACATACTCACTCAACGAATTCAAGATAACCCTCAACAATAAGTTCCAAGCATTAAAAGATCCACTGAAAGAAGAAGAAACTACTATGGAGGACAGTCGGAATGGGGTCAAACAAGCACTAACTTCTGATGGAGTTTTGTTCTCTGAGCTGGATGGTTTGGTCGTGGAGCTTTCATCGTTCTTCTGAACGACATCATCAGCACAAACTTCAGATAGAAGTGAAGTGTTCGAATTTCTTCATATGCGTTTCACAGCTTGTTCTGTGCACCTCGATGTTGATTGGTTCTTGGTGACCTTAAATTTATCATTGTTTACTTCTTTGTTTTGGTTGTGTCTCCCATTGGTTCGATTTTTGTTCTTATGTTTGTGCATGATTTTTCTGATTGGTTGATAAATTGGATTGATTTCAATATGTTTGTTGATTGCTGATTGACCTGAGTGCCAGGCTTCTAAAAATTCTCTGGTGTTTTTGGAGTTTCCTCTGTCTAATATTTCTACATTTTCCTTATGTGCTCTTATCTTCGAGTAGTTCTTCGGCTGTGTTGACGTATTCTTCTTTGTTCATGATTACTGTGGTGCGTCCTTTGTCCGCTGGTATTATGACAATATCTTTTCTATTTCTGATTTCTTTCAAGGCCTTTTGTTCTTTAAACAAGCTAGTCAGAGCAGGAGAAATAACAAAACAGGACCAATGGAGAATGAAATCCAGTGGACCAGTACTCCCTCGATTCGACGGTAGACCCAAAATACACAAACCAAACATTCCACTACGCCCAATAGTAGCACTCCCCGGAACGCCAACATACAATTTGTCAAAAGAAATTTCACGAATACTGAGACATCTAGTAGATTCAGCCAAACACTCCATCAAATCCCCGACACAACTCCTGGATCAAATTAAGGGTATCCAAATCAACAACGACGAACTCATTATATCCTTCGACGTAACAGCACTGTTCACCTCAATTGAACCACAACTAGCAAAAGAAGCTATATCCCTGCTACTCAACAACGACACAAATTTCACCAAATACATGACGCTTCAAATTAAAAGTATACTGGAACTCATCGACTTATGCCTAAAAACATATTTTCAATTCAACAACAAAATCTACGAACAAACAAAAGGGACAATAATGGGTTCACAAAGGCAGTGATGCAAAGACTAGAAGCCACGATATTACCAGTGATTGAACCAAAAATTTGGATTCGCTACGTAGACGACACCTTTGTCATCGTCAAAAAGGATGAACTGGAAAACACATACAAACTGATCAACAACGTTTTCAACGACATCAAGTTTACAATAGAACAGGAGTCAAATAACCAACTAGCATTCTTGGATATATTGATCACTAGAACTGATACAGGAAAACTGGAAACTCAAGTATATAGGAAACCGACCCATACAGATCAAATTCTCAACTACAACAGCAACAACCCAAGAGCTCACAAAATCAACTGCGTACACACTTTGTTCAAAAGGGCGAGGACACACTGGCAGCACGATAAAATGAAGAGAAATACCTGAAGGACATATTTCAAAAGAACGGCTACCCAATCAACTTCATCAAAAAGCACCAACGGCACACAGCATCAGAACCTAAATCAAGCACAAAAATCAACAAAAGGATCACCCTACCATATATACAAGGAATATCAGAAACCGCAACAAGACTGCTGAAAACATTCGGAGTAGGTGTAGCACACAAACAGACAAAATCACTACAATCAATCCTAAGCAAACCAAAAGATGAAATAACAAACGAAAACAAATCAAACATCATCTACAAAATAAATTGTGCCAACTGCGAAAAACATTACATCGGACAAAGCGGACGCCCCCTTCACCTGCGCATACATGAACATTAATTAGCAGTCAAACGGCATGATATCTCCTCACTTATATCAATACACGTGGACAACTGCGGACATTCATTCGATTGGAAAAATGTGGAAATCTTACACAAAGGAAACTCCAAAAACACCAGAGAATTTTTAGAAGCCTGGCACTCAGGTCAATCAGCAATCAACAAACATATTGAAATCAATCCAATTTATCAACCAATCAGAAAAATCATGCACAAACATAAGAACAAAAATCGGACCAATGGGAGACACAACCAAAACAAAGAAGTAAACAATGATAAATTTAAGGTCACCAAGAACCAATCAACATCGAGGTGCACAGAACAAGCTGTGAAACGCATATGAAGAAATTCGAACACTTCACTTCTATCTGAAGTTTGTGCTGATGATGTCGTTCAGAAGAACGATGAAAGCTCCACGACCAAAACATCCAGCTCTGAGAACAAAACTCCACCAAAATCATCCACCTGAGCTACAAATCTTCTCCATTATCTCAAGCACCAACTTCAGCGCGTCAGGAGT